AGTTTGTGAAACCATATAACTTCACTTTTATAGATTGTTTAGTATATCCAAAGAGTTACTTATTTATGGTTTTTACATAAGAAAAGACTTATAGCATCTTACAGAGTATACATAAAATATAAGACAATATCAGTAAGCAATGAAAGCAAGTAAGCAAATAATATTTTTGTTGGCATAAAATGAGCCAATATCAGTAACCCACTGCATACTACAGACCAAGGTTTTTCTAACAGTAAGTCATGATCCATTGGTGGGTTATGAAATTAGTTTAATAGGTATTGTCCAGTACTTAAAAAAATGACCAGAATAAAATATAACTGACTATATTAAAGTACATCATATGTACTTTTTTTGTAGTAAGTTGTGTTCAGAAAGTTATGAAAGTAGTCATAAAGAAGTATCTTCTGTACTGTCTCTCAGTTTTGACTCCATGATTTCACCAAACGAAAGCAAACAAAAGTTCATTGCTCAAGAAGTCACAAAAGGTAATTTTTTAAAAGTTTATAAGAAGCATACTTGAAAAGTAGAACATACAAATATTTCTAAAGCTGCAATGAGCAAGAGATTTCTTCTGAGGATGTGCTGAAAGTGGAACTTGCATAAAGTAATATCACGTATCTCTAAGACAGCTACTTTCAGTTGATATGTTTTATATATAATAGTTCCTCTGGACGTAAGTCCATGGCATCACACACCCATATCTAAAAGAGCACAGCAAATCCCCTTCCACATGATGTCACAGTGATGTCACAGGTGCCCTGGGCTGGGTTGTTGACTGAATAGTATATGAATCAAGAGAACAGATGGCAAATCTAAATTGAATAGATGGGCACATGAATGGTTATACTGAGTACTAAATATTTTATTTTTATGGATTATACAGACACACAAACTTTATCGGTTTCACAGTAAGCAGTTAACTATTATCTGATTCAAGCTCTGCACGGGGCTTTGAGTTTTAGTTCATTGGTATTTTGTGCAGTGAGGGAAGATATTTCTCTAGTAATCTAGAAATACACAGCATAACTATATTTCCTACAAATTGTATTCTATGAAAAAAAAAAAACTAAGGATTCTACAGGATACAGAAAAACATCTATAGTTATTAAAGATTCAACCTGTAGGCTTGGTGCCTGTGGCTCAGCAGCTAGGGCGCCAGCCACAAACACCAGAGCTGGTGGGTTCGAACCCAGCCCAGGCCTGCCAAACGACAAATACAACCAAAGATCAGCCAGGTGTTGTGGCAGGTGCCTGTAGTCTCAGGTACTTGGGAGGCTGAGGCAAGAGAATTGCTTAAGAGTTGGAGACTGCTGTGAGCTTTGATGCTACAGCACTCTATTGAGGGCAATACAGTGAGACCCTGTCTCAAAAAAAAAAAAAAATTCAACCTGTACATTAATTTAAGCAGATTAATATTTGGTACATTCAAAACAAGCAATAGAATCTTTAGGAAAACTAAAGCTTAGTTAGCTCTAATATTAGCTCTCCTGACAAAATGGTTCACAGGGGTATAGGAGGGTCAGGAGAACTTGGAAATGAAACTGGGAGGGGGAGACAGAGAGAGAAAGAGAGAGAGGGGCAGAGAAAGGAGCCAGCTAAGCAGATATTTATGGAGTTAGTTCTACATATCTGGAAATAAGTTCACATAAAATTGTATTGAGTAATTTTTCTTCAGGTAACTTGGGAAAATTGTTTACCTTCTCTAAGCCTCAGATTTAAAAACGAAATGATAAAACTGAATGATATTAATGTCTACCATACCAAGTTGTAAGACTCAAGATAATGAAGGTAAGTGCCTAGCATGAGTGTTGAAAGAATAAACTCTCTGAGTATTAGTTCCCTTTCCTTGTCCATACCGTCAGCTCTCACGTTCTCCATCCACATTCTCTTCCTCAGGGAACTCATCCCCGTCTTTTATTTTCCTTAATTTGAATAACTGCTAAATATCCATCCCTCTCCTGTGAATTTCTGTCTTTCACTTGCCATTATTTGGTTAATAGCCCACAGGTCATAAAAGCGAATATGGTATTGATGTAAACTCAGAAGTATCCATTGTAAAATGAAGGGGTTGTATAGGATATTTTATGCTTTTCTTCCTTAGGACACAGAATGTCATCATTTCTCACCAAATGACCACATAGTTCCTTTTGATATTTCACTGGCACCTTTTGATCAACTTCTTATCTTTTTTACCAAAGGAGCCTCCTTGTTTTTAATATAAAACACAAGGTAGGCTCAGCACACGTAGCACAGTGGTGATGGTGCCAGCTACATACACCAAGGCTGGCAGGTTCAGACCCAGTCTGGGCCTGCTAAACCACAATGACAATCACAACCAAAAAATAGCCAGGCGTTGTAGTGGGCGCCTGTAGTCCCAGCTACTTGGGAGGCTGAGACAAGAGAATCACCTAAGCCCAGGAGTTGGAGGTTGCTGTGAGCTGTGATACCACAGCACTCAGACTCTGTCTTAAATAAATAAATAAATCACGAGGTAACTGTATGGTAAGATTCAACCTCAAAAAATAAGAATTAACATGAATAAATTTCCTTGTAAGCTAAATTTACATCTAGAAACCCAACAATTTTTTGTTTTAATTTTTGTCATTTGAAATAAAAAATTTTCAAAATCAAATGTCACATGTGTGTAATTGTTTTGAAATGAGTAACTTGAAGTTTATTTAGCTTTGTCTAAACTGGACCTTCATCGTGACCCTCTTTTCTATATTTTGCAGCAATTTCAGGAACTAATACACACGGATGGAGTCTTTCCTCCTAATGACCCTTCTCCATCCACCTTCAGGAATAATTTTAATTGGTTGATACTTGCATATTGAACTATGAATTTATTATAAGAATAGGTATTGATTCCAAAAGGCTCACAGTAAGCATTCGTATTAGGAAAGTATAAGAGCTTTTTTAAAAAAATCACTTGTGGCAGGTTTTGAGTTTTCTTGTGCATGAATGGCTTATGGGATTGGTTGTTGTTCTGGATAAGATAAAAATGGTCTAGGCATGGAAGGCATCATTCCCTCAGGCACGTGGACTGGAGGTCATCACTCAGTTTTCATTTTTCCTCATTGTCCACATCCAGTCTTAGTAATAAATCCTCCCATCCTGCCTCCTCCGTGTTGGTTACATCCACACGGTCCTTCAGTTTCCTACTGCCCTGGTCACTGGCTCACCCTAACATTCTGATATTGGCCCGTGAACTTTCAAAGCCATCTGTTCTCTCCTGACCCTGGTATATATTATACACTAATGATGGATTTCTTTTCCTAAACTTGATCTTTTTACTCTACTTGTTCTATAAACTTTAAATCATCAAATAACTACAATCTGCCCTGCTTCAGAAATCACAGGATGTGCTATACAGGGTGTCCATAAAGTTTGTGTGCCATTTTATGGACACACTGTATTTTTTATTTAGCTTTACATTGTGTAAAATAGGACTTAAAAGAAATTTATTCTTAAAACAAGATGTCTTTAGAGTCCATAGGTCTGGTTAAATGGATTGTATTGTGCAGAATTTGCTGAAGATTCTATGCCCACTTAAGAACTTTTATCTTATTCAGCTGTGGTTCTTACTAATCCTGCCACCATTCACAACCTAATGAAAGAGACAACCAATTATATTCCAATGGCCTTTCTAAAATAGAAGTCAAAATGAGCACTGAGGAGGAGAAAGTTTACTATTAAATGAAATGAAGGCCAATTGTCCAAAGGTAACTTCATGGAGATTTAACATTGTATCTATATCTCCATGGATAAATACAATTTTTGTCAAATAGAGAAAGAAAAAATGGAGTTTCCTGGAAGAATGAAAAAAATATATAAAGTATATGCTTTTCAAAATGGAAAATATCATGGTGGTTTGAGAAGCAAGAAGAAATTTAATGCTGTAAAGTCAGTTGGATTAAAGGAGATGCATGAAGGATATAAGACAGGCTCTAGGAATTGAGATCAAAGATGACTTATCAGCCAGTAAAAGAAGTTCGGTTTCTGAGGATAATTTGGAGACACAAAGTGTGTATGAGCAGGAGAATGGCATAGTTAAGAGTGCTCATTCAACTACAGTAAGCTAGGCTAAACTGTCAACAGTGACAACATGAAGTCAAAGAGATAAGTTTAGACATTAGTCATAAGAGAAAGGAAAAGGAAGAGTCTGAACAAAGGTGATGGTGGTGGAAACGAAGAGACGAGGACAAGTTAGTGACACACTTGGAGGTGGAATTAACATACGTTATTTTGTGGGAGGAAATGCAGAGGGACTTTCAGGCAACTTTAAGCTTTGTAGGTGGGTGAAATAAGACAGGGAGCGGCCACCAAATACAGCTGTTGGGCTGTTACAGTGAACTTTCCAGGGAATTTATAGAAAAAATAAAGATTGTATTTCTTTGAGGGATTGATATTTATCTCATGAAAAGGTGAGGTAAAAATCTCATATTTACTCATTTACCAATTATTTCATAATGTTGATTGACTAAAGCAATCTAGGTAACACATAAAATGGATGTATGTCTTTTAGGCTTACGGGATTTTTCTTATATCATTGACGAATTCCAGTCTCATGAGCACTTAGAATCAAACAAATTAAGTACATTTTATAAGAAATGATGATAGATTATACTAAATAAGAAATCAAATCTTCTTTTAGGACTAATTTTAAAATGAAAGTAAGAGATGGATAAAGTAAAATTTTCAAGCCACAGCCTCTGCGGGCCGCCCATGACCATGAGTTTCTATTACTCGTAATTGTGATTTATTTATAGCTCCTTTTACCTCCTGACAGCAGCAGAAGCAAATATTTCCAATCATCCAGGCCCTTCTATCTCCGCACTCATTAGTGCATGCAATTAGTAGAAACCAGGCAGTGACTGACTTGATTGACACGTGTTTATTTTCTTCCCCACACACTGTGGGATCCCAGCGTGAGAGTAATGAAGGAAGAGCTGTAATTTGCAACCCTGGATGGCATGGCTGCTTATTATCATCATACTTACAACTGGGCCTGGTGGGCCCTGGGGACCTTCCCCTCCTTTCAGTCCAGGTGCACCCTGGAAAAGTGAAAAGATAAAGAGAATGCGTGTTGGTGTGAATTCAAAACATAAATCAGTAGGAAGAGATGTTTGATAAAATGAGAATGTCTAGAAGTGTTTTAGGCATAAATATACATACATACATATATAATGATAATGAAATGCATGGGTTGACTTATATCCTCTCATTCCTCTTTAGCTACGCTCTGAGAAAAGGGCTTCTAATGAGCGATTTCGCTTACACGCTATCTATGTGAGTACGTAAGTGCACACGTCTGCACTGACCATACCTGAGCTCCAGGAAGACCTCTTTCACCTGGGAAACCACGTAGTCCCGCCGGTCCATCCTTCCCTGAGATACCTTGAGGACCTGGGTCACCCTAAAGAGTATAATAAACCTCCATCAATAAAGAGTCATATCTACAAACAAAATTGCTATTATCTCTAACCTTCTATAAGTAAATGATGGGAATAGTTTACGGAATGCCATATACGTTAAAATGAGCTAACCACAACCAACACTTAAGAGTACCTAATTATAGCCTAAGAATATGGGGAGGGGAGATGAAGAGGGTAGGGGAGAGGGGTGGCTGGGTGGAAGGAGGGTGATTGGAGGGATCACCTCTATGGTTTATCTTACAGGGTACAAGTGACTCTTTCTAAAAGTAGAATATAGATGTCTTGACATAACAACTAAGAAAATGACATGAAGGCTATATTAACCAGTTTGATGAAAATATCTCAAATTGTACATCAGAACGCCACACTCTACCCCATAATTGCATTGTTGCACACAGCTATGATTTAAAAAAAGAAAAAGAGTAGATAGAAATTGATGGCTTTGTGACCAATGGTCCTAATGACTCTTATGTTATTATTCTTAATGTCCTCAAGGACAATTAATTCATACTAAATACTATCCCGGAATATCTTTCTGAATATGCATTTAATATTATACCAAAAATGCCGAGAATCTATGGACCAGTGGTGAGAAGGATAGCAAGAAGTAAATGGAAGTCTTGACCCCCCAAATCTTCTGGAGCATGTTGTACTGTACCTTTGCACCTTCTTTTCCGGCAGCACCTGGAAGACCTTGCTCCCCAGGAGGGCCAGGAGGGCCAGGGTGCCCACGTTCACCTATCGGGCCAGTCTCACCAGTTGGTCCCTAAATTAGATAAGTGATAACACATTAGGTCATAATGAACTCAAAATAAATATGACTCCCTTTCACAAAAGTTTGTCACTCTCATTTATTGTCCTAATGCCCTAGAAAACACTTTAAATAAAGCACTGAGGGTGGCCTATCTGGTAAGAAGTCGAAGAGATTACATGTGAGCTTTGTTAGAATCTGAGCATACAAGGGAAATATGTAAAGTCCAAAGAGAAGTTTTGATGTGTACTACCAGAATTACTGTGGAGTACGGTCAGGCCAAGTCCTGTTAAAACTGGGTTTTTTAACCATGGTTTCATCCCATCCCTTCTTTTTATATCAGGTGTGTCAAATAAACTAGGGGGTAAAGAGTCCTAGGAGACACATTGGTAGGTACTCAATGAATCAACTGCTTGGAAATTAGCCTAGGTCCCCGAGAACCCAAACAACCAAAGTGGTTCTCCTTGGAATTTCCAGGGACTCAAAACCTCTCTACTGCTCATCTATATTCATTTGACAGAGTCTAAGGAATAGGGCAAGGGGAACCTGCAGGCGTGAGTCTGGGCTGGCAATCACTCCTGGCCAAAGGCTATAACAAATAACCAGCTGGTTTAAATTGCAGCAAATGCCAAAGTGAAAAATGGTAGGTCATGTACGTGTCCCCTGAGTGGTGCCGTTTTGTGGTGCCGGAGTATAAGAAGCTTTCAAGTATAAATAGAGAATGGTGATCGGTTACTCTCTATCTGCACTTAGAATAAAGCAAAATGACGGATTTAAGTCAAAGATACATGAAAGAAAAATACCCAGATGCTAAGGTTATAAAACAGTGGAATGTGTGACTAAAGTTGCTTATGAAATATTATTCTCTGTTACTTTTCTAAAAGAGCAACATATTCTTACCTTTTAATCTCTGAGAAAGAACACATCTCCCCCACTTGGGATATACATTTCTACATTTAAGTTCCTTCAGTGACATTTTGCTGAAAATCCTTACCTGACCGCTAATGTGCAAACATTTTCCCACAAAGAAATTTTTTTTCCCTGAAACCCGTGAACATCAGAATTTCAACAGAAAGGACGATAAAATTAATCCTAACTGGGGGACAGCTATCACCACCGAGATAAAAGTCAGCCGACATCCCCATAACTACACACAAAAAAAGGGTGAATACCAAGTTCTGCCGTCAACACTGTTCCCATTAAATCCTTTGTCCTAATATGAAACACAGTTACATTTAAAACCGGGGGTTGGATTTTCTTTCTTAAAAAGGACAATAAAAAAATTAACTCAGCGAAGATGCACATTCAGTAAAACACCTAACTTTCATACATTAAAGTAGAGGAGCAAAAAAAAAAGGTTCTTTTTTGAAGAAACTTCTAGGTCTCAGAAGTTTCGGATGTCACGTTAGGCAAAGGAGCATTTTCAAAGGATATGAGTTTCTGAAATAGTGAAGTCCCATGATGTTTATGTTGTAGACACTAACTCCATTTCTGTTCATGGATATTCCATGTAATAGGGATAAGTCTTCCCATTAAGATAGTTATGAAATAGAAAAGCAAATAGAAAAATAAATGTATTTTTGGAGGAAGCTTTCTAATTATTAAAGGAGTATATATGTAATTTTTAAATTAAAATTAATAAGCAGTTGGAAGGAGGCTTTTGTTCTTATGCACATGCTGTTTCCATGACAAAGAACAAACATTGAATATTTCTCTTGACGCAGCATTAAGCTCTGAAACAAAATGATCGACCAATCCAAGAATTCTTCATTTTTGCTTGTTGCATACATTGCTAAAATGCAGTTGTTTGTTTCTTGAATGTGTGTGAGAGAGAAAGAGAGAAATACTATTTATTTTGAGAATTATTTATAGGCTGAGAAAAGACTATTCAAAGCAGTTAAATAGTCAAAACACTTATTCAACTGCTCTCGCTAAAATTTTTTATTGTAGTGGGGAAAAATTCCAGTTGATGAGACAAAACGTGCCCCTTTCATTCATTATGCTTTGCCAGAGAATGAAAGCACTATTTTCTGTTACTGTAAATGATTCTTATTATTTAATACCATAATTCAGAGTATTGCAACAACTTTTGAGGCTCTTCTAACTATCTTGAAAGAAATACATATTTTCCATTCTCTCACACCTACTCAAAGAGAGCCAACTAATATCTTATCTTTGATAAAATTGACTACTAAGACAAAAATTTTAGGAAACATGTTTCAAATATCAAATTTTTAGAATGCTTTGATATTCAGAGCTTTGCATTTCTGCTATATTATACTTGTAAATCTAATGTATACTAAAAAAAACTGAAGTTGTTTGTATACGGTACCTTAAAATTCTGCAAAATGGTGATGACCAATCTATTATAAAGAACATTCTTTAAAAAAATTGTTGGTGGTGCCATGGTCAGGTTTGGGTGTTAAATTCAGTGTGAAGTTTTTGATTTTTTTCATTAATTATTTTATTGTTCTCTTTTATTGATACCGACAATTTGAAAGGTTGTTTTGGCTAAGTAATAGTTTGCTGAATTTCATTTGCAATAGGCAAGCTGCATATATTTAAATGCTATTTGAAATAAAAAATACATCATTTGAATCATAGTAAGATTGGCAGATTTTACACTAGGTTAATTAAATATAAACCAAAAAAAAAATTCTTATTAGGAAAATAAAGTAAAAGACTATACCTGGGGCCCAACAACTCCTCCTGGGCCAGGAGGTCCCGTCTTGCCTTGAAATCCCTGAGGAAGCAAAGTGTAATCTATAAAATCTTTATATAGCACAAAGCATAAATTAAAGTTCTATGAAATGTTTGAAAAGCTAAAAGGAAATCATCTTTTGGCTAAAAATACTTTTATTTTCAAATGCTTAAAAATGAGTTAATCTATTCCATTTTTCTTTAAAATTCAAAATTTGCCATCTTCATTATTTCAGATTATGGTATAATAATTACTTTCAATAAAATTAAAAGAAATAAGACAATAGGATAAAGTTGGAGCAAAAGTGGCCTACGTCCTTTTCCACCGAGTCAAACAACAGGTAGAATTTGAACCTAGCATTGTTATGGATGAAGTAAATGATGATTTAGACATTCCTTGAAATGGTCCACTCCTTCTCCATATAGAGATAAATTCACAATATCTGATATTAATGCACTTTTCTCTACTAAATTGTAATCTCATAAGAAAACGAGATATAAAAATATACTTAGAATGTTTTGCATGATTATCAAGTCATTAAAATTTAATCTGGTTGATGTGAGCAAAATGTACTCAAGCTGTGGTGCATGTATTCTGGTATTCGTATTTCTCTAGGCTTGTGTGAGCAAAATGTACTTACTAAGCCAAGTTGTGGTGCATATATTCTGCTGTCTGTGTTTCTCTAGGCTGTGGTTATTCATTCTGATAACTGTATTATGATAGGCATATTTTTTCTTTATATGAGTTATGTTCCATTTAACAGCTGGAGAAGTATATAAAAAATACTAAAAAAAATCTTCTAAAGAACTGAATCAAAACAAATGTCATTTGCAGAAGTTTTAGTCACTAATCAGACTGGATTAAAACATCTAATCAGACTGGAAATCATAAAGTTAGAAAGAAAAGGGTAGGAACTCGTAGTTTCACATTTGTATCAAAACCTTCCAGACATTACACAATTAGTTATAATAAAAAAAAAAAAGTAGATAAAAGGAAAAGAATTTGTATTTGTAATTACTGTAGGTGCTGTTAGAGAGAAAGAAAAGATTTATCCTATTTTAAAAATCCATTAGTTCTTAAGACCATCAGGGTCTACTTGAGCTACAATTACAACAGCAAAACCAATCAATTCTGGGAGAACTATCCGATGATTTATTTAGCATTTTATAAACCAAATCGTTTGCATTATCTGACGTTTTCTGCAATCGGTTAGCTTGGAAATCTGTAATAAGATTTACATATTTACAGACACACACATATATACACATACATCTACATACATACATGTGTAATGCATATGTGTGTCCCTGGACTTATCTCAACACTCTCCACGACCACAATTGCTGTGACTATCATGATGAACCCTCCAAACTGTTTCAAAGCTCTGATGTGTGCTGAGCCCTGAACTCATCTCAGTAAGTGCCTACTGGGGATTTCCAGTCGTCTGTCCTGTTCTCCTTCCAACTCTCAACACGGAGCTCGCTGAGTGCACCTTCTCTTTCGCTTTCCTTTCCGTGTTCTCTCCTTTCTGAAGGGAGTGCTTCAGATCCCAGGCTGTTCTTCAGCGCTCAGGTGTAATTGATAATTTAAGTCTAACATGTCATCAGAGAAACTCCCTCAAATGTAGCATCTTCTCTTTTATCCAAGTGGTCTGTATTATGCAAACTATAATCACCTCTTTCCTTCACTGTGGCAGAGATTTTAAAATCAGTTTCGCTGTGTGTGGACAGCACATCAGCCAGAAGCAATCACCATCTCCCAAAAGCAAATCCAATCAACGTATTGTTAACATACACCACGCAGGATCGCTGATAAAGGTCTATGCATCTGGGCCCAGTCTGGCCCTTTAGTAACCTTTTGCTTTGAAAATGTGTCCTAAATCCCAGTCATGTGCTCTTCTGACTTTTCTCTGGAAAGCCACACATCACAAATTTGCGTGACCACTTTCCTCTGACTGGATTACCCTCCTCTCGATTTTTGATCACTAAATTTAACATGAAGGTGTGAATGCAATTCTGAACTTAAAATATTATGACCCATAAAGATTTTTGTCTTAATAAATGTGAGACTAGGAATAGCAGACACAAAAATGATTACAATAATAATTAATCATTAAGATTACATGATTACAAATCAATGTTTAATTGAGGAAACGCAGACTTGCGCTCCTATATCTTAAGGGAAAAGAGGAAATCTTGGCTGCTAGTCCATTTGTGGGGGTGAAAAATTTGGGAAAAGCTGGCGAGAGTATGGCCATGGGTCTGCTCATTCAGAACATTCAGAGTGTTTGCAAGTATCTAACAATTTGACTCTAGGGATCTGACATACAAACTACACCCAGGGAGACGTTTACCATTCAGAGTGGTTTGTGATTGTTCAATATTGTCATGTAAGATAACATTTGCCATTTAATTTGACAATAACTGTAATCAATTTATGTTTTCTAAAGTCACTGAAAACAAATTAATTTGACATGTTCCTTGGTAGTTCAAAACATCTGCTTTAAGACCCAACAAAAAATTTATTCTGATTATATTTCAGGAACTAAACTAATTTTAAGAGCCATAGAGAATGTTTCTTAGACAAATTAGATATTTTCAATATAATAAAAACTATTTCTAAAACTTTTTTTTGCAGTTTTTGGCCGGGGCTGGGTTTGAACCCACCACCTCTGGCACATGGGGCTGGTGCGCCACTCCTTTGAGCCACAGGTGCTGCCCATATTTCTAAAACTTTTAATGGCTATCAGCAAACTTAGAAATACGTAGTTTCTATTATACTGAAACAACCAAAATCAGTGTAAAGTCAGAATTAACCTCAAAGATACATTCAAAATTCAAAATTTAAGAATTTCTGGAAACAAATATAATAAAAGAATTTCTTCACTGAAATAAGATGATAGGCATATAGTAAGGAATACTCAGCTCTAGAATCTGATCTTTTCCCATGTAATTCTTTGAATCTGACTCAGCACAGAACCAGGTAAGACTGGTTGTAGTTGTAGACTACAGGGCAATTCACTATTCTCTTAAAAGTGAATGTGAAATTAGGAATACAGTTTTTCAGAAATGTTTCACACATTTTTCTAGCCTCTATCAATGACAAACTACTAGCTGGGTACAAGAATTCCAGAAGCATTAGCTAATTTGCTATTTTCTTCTTGGTCTAAATTTAACTGTTACATGTAAAATGATGATATTGGTTAGAAGTTCTTTATTAAATCAAATACAAGAGATTTCATCACTGCAATTCTTGAGGTAGCTTTCCCTCAAGTGACATTTTGGAACTATTTTAAAGTAATTCTCAGACAGTGATACGTTAAAAATGATTGGCTGCACAATTTGAATGAGAATGCAAATATGAGGATGGATTCTCCTGTAGAGGGTTTATTTTTGCTTCTTATATAGACGTCATTCCCAGGAGGAAATCCAAACAATTTTTCATTCGGTCTTTGTCAGTCATATCTTGAATTTGTTTTTGAATCTAGGAATTCGAAGTTTCCCATCGGGCTAAAATGAAGAAGTTGTTAAACTCAAACTGTTTCTTGATAACATCTGACAACAATCCAATTATTTTCTTGCTACTGATGGATTGTTATAGCAGAAAACTCATAATGCTTTCAGATTTGTTGTCGTGCTCTGCTATGCGACTCCAAATTTGTCTTCAGTCTCTCTGAATTCTCTACCAGGATTCTGAACCACATAGTCAAAGGTAGTCTATGTTGTGGTTTCCTTAAGAAATCTGGATAAAATTAATCAACAGAGAGGACCAAGAATTGGTTCCAGGGCCATATGGCAGCCCAGGATGATTTCTGATTATAATAACCAGTCATCAGACTAGCCAGATGCATGCTTTTGGAACAAACAGCAGCAAAGTAAATAAACAAGTCCACCAGGATCCTCAAGCCATCGCCGAGCTGCCTGTTTCCCCTCTGCCCAAATTGTTATACACATGATACGTTGTTCAGTCCATTCGTTTAATGTTATAGCCCCTACATTTTGTAAATGAAATTAAATTACATTTCTTATTTACATTTTCCTCCCTGACATGAAAAGATGCTTTTGAAAAAGTGCCAGACCAATTTGCCTATGGTTCCAAGATCAGCAAATATTTTATCCTTTAGTTACAGACAGAAGACTGTTGTATGTGTTGTGTATGTGGCTTATTGTAACCTGTTTCATTTAGAGAGTGGAGGGGTCAGGGGTTTGAGTGAAACAGGCCAGAAACAGAATTCAGCAAAAGGGCCAAGATAACTGATCTTGTAGAGTCATCCAAAATATAATGGTGTCTTCTCCATCAGCCCATCCCTGATGGGCTGCTATTGACAATAATGACAATTGTATCAACTAACATCCTATTTCTTCAAGTACATTCATTTAGCTACAAACGTGGGTCTATTTGTGTATTTATTATATATATATTTTTAAAAGTTTCAATGCAATTAATTCCTCCATTGCCCTGAACTGGTAACTGAATAGTAAAGTAGCTTTGTGTGAACCAATGAGGTGCTAGAGATGGAAAATTTCAGGAAGATTAACTGGGTAACTTACAGTCTCCCCACGTTGCCCTGGGTGTCCTGGCAGTCCATCCTTCCCAGGTGGTCCCTGAAATCACAAATATTAAATTCCACATGTCATAAATATTCCTTGAATCATTTCATCATCTAAATGTAATATATTCAACAAGTTTCTTTTCATATTTTATTACATATTGTCCTTTAATCTTCTGTTCATTTTAAATGGTGGCATATGCATATATTTCTCTAATATAATTTTGTAGTTATAACTGAGAAAAAAAATTTTAGCACTCTATTCTGAACATTTTAAAATTTACGTTATTTTGTTTGAATTTATCTTTTGTAAAACATATGTGCATAGGTTTGCATTTTTATATTTGCAAAAATCTTAGTTCTTTAGTAGTTAACAAATGAGTATTTTCCCTCTTGGTGATCTGTTCCTAATTCAGTTCCCAGTGTCTCAAACTTAGATTATAGAGGAAGGTGGTGCCCTCTAGTGGTGATCTGGGATTCTAACTCACAAGAATGCAAAAGAAATAAAAACTCAACAATAGCATTTTACTTCTCAAATTGCTTTAAATAAAAGAAAAAATACGTTATGCTCTAACATTGACATTATCGGGACCTATTTTCCCAATAGTTTTTGTTACATATACTTTGGGAATCATAATGTTTATTAAGTACTGGAGAGAAAATCTACTCTGCTGTTCACATTTTAAAAAAGACACTTTGTCATGTCTGAAGTAATAAATGAAGCAATTAACTAAGTACTTAAAGTAAACAACTCTGTGAGGGTCCTGTATGTTAAATACTTAGGAGAAACAGATTGCTTCTTTCATATGCTTTATGGATTATTCATTCTATTAAGAAACCATTAGGTGCCAAGTTCAAATTTCAAAACATGGTTAATCAGTCTAGGCAGGAATATTCTCCCCCTTCTGGATAAATGATAAGAAGTGATCATTTTAATAAAGACATTTCTAGTGACAACAGACATACCTCTCACTGTATATGTTAACTTTTAAAATAAGTCTATTTTCAAACATCTATTTTTATATATGTTAATGTAAAGCTAGTTTGAATGAAAGGCTTGGTTTCGGAACAGTATGAGTTTCAGACATAGCTTTCTTCAGAGGAAGACTTCTAGGTTGGCTAGCTCCTTTAGGAGAAAAACCCTTGGCAATGTCGTATCCTTAGTTCCATTCCCTGATCCCATCTTTACTGACACCTTGTATGCCCTGTGAATTATCAGCTCTAATTAAAAACCGTAATATTTCACAAAATTATGGCTTGTATAGTGATATTCTCATGTCTTCCAGGACCCCCTCAATGATTCTTGTGCTGTTCTCCCCCAAAAGACCAAAACTGAATTGTTGGAGTCCTTTTGACCAAGGGCCTTAAACATTTTTGGATGTCATTTAACCAGTTGTATCAGTCACTAGGTGTATAGTAATGTAAGACTTGGCTGTGCCCTCAGTTTAGAAGTGAAACACAGAAATAAGTAGTTAACAGTAGACGCCACTGAAGATCAGTTTTAAAAAATAGCAAATAAAAACAATTTCTGTGCCTTATAACTATTTTAATACATATAGCAATAAATGTATGTCATAGTGGGCCATGATGAGTCTACACAGAGGATGACAGTTGGAGGATGACAAATGTGTCAGTCTTTTCCCCCTGCCACATATAACTGCTTCTCAAATGACATGTTTTGCCATTTGTACAAAAAAATACGTTTTCTAACAAAGTTATAGGTGTAAAAACTAAATGTCTCATAATTGCTCATATAGGTAGTATTGAGTATACTCAATACTATGAGTATGAGTATACTACTCGTATAAGTAGTATTTTTACTGGAAAATTTTATAATTCTTTAAAATAGTGATCTTATTTCTAAATAATGCCATCTTGGGATAAATGCAACATGGTTTCTAAAGGTTTTCCTGAGGAAGCAGGGCTGATGGACTAGTTAAAGAATTGGTGTCATGCTATGGAGCATATTGCAAGTACAAGTTGGATCTATCAGGTGTAGAACACAAATGTCTTAATGCTGTAATTGGGTAAATGAGGTGAAGGCTATGTTGATCAGTAGGATGTAAGCACTCCAATTTGTACAAATAATCAACACATTGAATCCCGTAATGGCATAAATGCATTTATGATCTATGTACAAATGACTTAATAAAAAAAAAAAAAAAGAATGGGTGTCATCACTATTTTACCTGATTTAAGTATGTGCTTATATCAAGCAGTTAATCCAAATAATGGTAATGGCTTCGCATGAATATCCAATAAAATAAAGCAGACAGATTACCACATAATTTGATGCCATTTATTTAAAAATAATAATTGTTCAATAATCCCTTAACAGTAGATGCCACTGAAGAGGCTACCTCTTTTACTAGTTAGTACAAGACAGAGATTATCTACACAAAGATGTGCAGAGAGGGCAGGGCAATTTGTGGGAAAAAAAACAAATAAATTATTATTCAAGGATGTTTTTCGCTTCTTATTGTCTTTGAATATTTCTCCTAATAGTCACACTGTAAATATATATATATATATACACAAATATATATATAACAAATATATATATATAACAAATATAACAAATATATATCTATATAATGTCTTTGAATATTTCTCCTAATAGTCACACTGTAAATATATATATATATACACAAATATATATATATATATTTTTTTTTTTTTTTTTTTGGCCAGGGCTGGGTTTGAACTCAGCATATGGGGCCAGCGCCCTACCTTTTTGAGCCACAGGCACTGCCCATCATGCTGTGAATCTTAATCACTTTAAGTTACTTTTTCTCTTAAATGAATGATTGTAAACTTCCAAAATATGCTGTCACTGGCATAAGATTAAAAGAATCTTAATAAAATTTTCTAAGCACTCAATCTATATGTGTATGTATGAATACACACACACACACACCACACATAAATTTTTTTTCTCTGGTTAATGAAGATGGGTCAATCTCTAAGAAGAGATTGATCCAGTTTCTCAATATGTCAACGTAGGAAGTTGTTTCTTCCCCAAACTTCATAAAATTGCATATGAGAGAAATGATAGGTATTTTTATGTTTCACTTGTCAGAGAAACACTAAAACTAATTTTGTTCAGCAGTGAAAGCAGTGTTCCTTAACAGCATCTGTCTCTCCAACTAGAAGGCACGCAGGCATTTATTACACTTCCAGTACCTCTTAGAGACAAAAAGCATGCATGAGCAATGGCTCAAACTTATTTAAAGATACATGAGAGAACTGACCGAAAAAGTCATACATATCACTGGATTGTATGTTGCTAGACAATGATCTATGAACATGGCTTAAATTATTTACGGAAATGCTTCTGAAAAATCACTTTTGGAATTGTGTGTTCACTTCTCTGTGAAACTCTGCATGGACTTAAATGTTACATCTGGAGCAAAACAGAGATTTGGGGTAAACATAATCTGCAGAAGCTATCAACATTATCTTATAATTAATACAGTTATTTGTATTGATCCTTTTAAACACTGTAATACAGATAACAATCCTTTCTTGATATGTTTGCAGTAATAAAACTGTTCAGTGTTAAAGTAATATTTTAAACACTGACTAAAAACATGGCATAAAGTAAGGGACTGTGTCAAGGTTTCACAGTAAGTAGGTATTTCAAAATAAATAATTCACCAAAGTGATTTGTGTGCCCATTATAGTTTGGGTAGTATTGTCTAGACTGGACTAGAACAGTAGTTCACACACTGCAGCAGGCATCACAAGGATCTAGAGGTTTTGTTAAAGCACAGGCTGGGGCGCTCTCCAGATTTCTGATTAGGTAAGTAAGACTTTGAATTTCTAACAATATCCCAAGTGCTACTCTGGGCCAAGGACCATGTTTTGAGAACTACCAGCCTAGAAAGGTAGTAAACTTATTCTGAATTTCATAAAGAAACTAAAGAGGTTTCAGAAAGAACAAAAGGGAAAAAAGGAAGGAAGAAAAACTGAGCATGCCCTATGGTCCCACAAATATCTAAATATGGAAAAGTACTTCAGTTAATTTGCAAATATGCTTGATAAAAGTGTTCACATAAAAATTACTCTAAACACATTTTATAAAAGGGATATGATTTGATAAGAATTATTATGTTTTATATTAAAAATGCCTTATAGAGGCCAGGTGTGGTGGCTCATGCCTGTAATTCTAGCACTCTGGGAGGCTAAGGCAGGTGGGAGGCTAAGGTAGTGCAAGATCAACCTGAGCACGAGTGAGACCCTGTCTCCTCTAAAAATAGAAAAACTAGCCACATGTGGTAGCACACATCTGTAGTCCCAGTTGGGGAGACAAAGGCAAGGGGATGGCTCTAACCCAGGAGCTGGAGTTGCTATGAGCTATGACACCACCACACTCTACCCAGGGCATCAAAATGAGACTTTCTAAAAAAAAAAAAAAAAAAAAGGCAAAGTAAAAGAAAGGAAAGGATGCACTATAGAGATATACAATAAAAATAAATAAATATTAATGGGATGCAATAGCAAAATGTAAGAAAAAGTTTAGATAATAGTATTTGAAGAAGGATATATTTGATGATGGAAGATAATAGAGAAATTCTAATATACTAAATATTTAAAATTTGCTAATAATTTTTAACGTCATCAAAAATAGTCATTGTAGTAGAAAAGGAGTTGAGAGAAAAATACTCATGCTGTTCTATAGTCTTTTAGATACTTTGAAAGGACGCTTAATTAGAGATGTTTAATTTATACTCAAAAAAATCTGTGAACTTCACAAGTTGAAAATATATATATTCTTTGACATTGCTGAATTTCTTTGACAATAAAATGATGTTGCACGGGGAAAACAATTCATATCAACACATACGAATGGAAACGGTACGGCGATGTTGAGGTTATATATTTCTCGGGCTTTTTGCTAAACAACGATCTGTCCACGTGGCTTAAACACGCTTACGGCAATGCTCATGAAAAAAATGCAAAACGCCAGTTTCATAGAGATACGATCAATGTGATGTCTAAAATTACTTAAAGCATAAACTTGTGACTCTCAAAAATTTGAAAACATTATCAAATGAAAAACAGCGGAAGGAAAACTACGACACTTAGGATACTTACAGGAGGGCCTTTTGGTCCAGGAAATCCGACTGGACCCTGAGGTCCTTGAGGACCCTAAAAAAGTAAAAAGCAGTAGAGAAAGTTTAACAAGACATTTTTGCTTTAAAGTTTATTTTTACAGACAAAATATGTAGCACACAGCTTCTTCACTGTAGTCACAAATACGGCAGGACGACGTGACAGTGCTAACCTACAGGCACGAGGGACGGTTCTCACACTGTTCAGTACTCAACACGGTAAATTCTATTAATGTTCTTACGTCGGGAACACAGAGATGTTCTGCAGCTTCTTTACTTTTAATGTTGGCTAGAAACATTTATAGAAGGAGATATTTTAATTCGATTTAATTTCATAGTCCCCAAGAGAAAGTTTTGTCTTTTTAAAGTGACTCTATAAATGATCTGGATCTAGCCATGGAGAATTGTAAGGGAATATGTGTGACTACTATAAAAAAACCCTTAGAAGGTGCCTTTACCTAGTCTTTGCACTTAATATATTTTTGTTAAGGATGTCATCTTTGATCATGTATAAACTTCCTTTGTAGATAAGATGAAAATAAATATATCGTATAATTATACACATCAACATGTGTTGCAAATATCCATTTCTATTATAATAACATTCTTGGCTTGATGCTTAATTAACTGTAATATTCATTTCTCATATTTACATATCTTTAAAAAGAAAAAAGTAGATCCTATTACACTATGTTGCTGGCAGAAAAGAAACCGATTAAAGGTCATCCTTTATATCCCAAGACATAATAATTATATTTCTATAATGAGAATATGTGAAATAGAAAGCCACATACATAAAATTCGTTAAGTAATACAATTAAGGTAGGATTAATAGATGTGTTGTCTGATCCCATATAAGTGCCTGAAGTTGGTCTTTATTAATAGAGTTGCTCTTTCTGTTTATCAATCTGGCCTTGCACAAGAAAATCTCAGCCTTTCTTAAGACAATGTTAGGTCAGAAATCAGCACAAGTTTTTGCTCTTATCAGGATCTTATCTTAAAGTTAAAAAGAAATTTCAAAATTATATATGACATTTTTTTTTTTTTTGAGATAGAGCCTCAAGCTATCCCCCTGGGTAGAGTGCTGTGGCATTACAGCTCACAGCAATCTCCAACTCCTGGGCTCAAGCGAGTCTCCTGCCTCAGCCTCCCAAGTAGCTGGGACCACAGGAGCCCGCCACAGTGCCTGGCTATTTTTTGGTTGCAGCCGTCATTGTTGTTTGGTGGGCCCGGGCTGGGGATTCGAACCCGCCACCTTAGGTGTATGTGGCTGGCGCCTTAGCCGCTTGAGCCACAGACGCCGAGCCTATACATGAAATTTTTAAAAAGGCATATGTTACATGACATAACCAAATGCACTGGGCATATTTTAGGAACTTATAAATGTTTAAACTCTCATTAAAGTATAAAATTATTAGGTAACTATCTTAAATAGTTACCCTAATAACGTTTTTAAAATGATGAACAAACATTTATTTGAAGTAAAAACTTTCTAAAATACTCCATCTTTAGGTATGTAGCAAGCTATTTTCTCAATTCTTTAAAAAGTCATTTCTTCGCTTTCTAAAATTTTTCTGCTTTGCTAATAAAATTTGATTTATGAATGTAAATTTCCTTAAAAAGAAACATTTTCAAAAATCATGCATTCAAAAAAAATCATGACTTCAGAGAAAATAAAGGGAAATGAGTATAAAATTTCACAGAACTGTGTTGACATTTTCTGTTTGTATTAATCCAAATAACTGCCAGGTGAGGTAAAACATACCTAAAGACTCAGTGGAGAGATAGAGTTAAAACTCAACTAGGGTCATAGATAAAATACCCTGTAACTAGTTAAATTTGAATTTGGGGTCAGGTATGATGGCTCAAGCCTGTGATCCTAGCACTCTGGGAGGCTGAGGTGGTTGCTTGCTTGACCTCATGAGTTTGAGACCAACCTGAACAAGTGGGACACCCATCTCTATTAAAAATAGGAAAGACTGGTTGGGTGGCTCACGCCTTTCATCCCAACACTTGGGAGGCCTAGGTGGGTAGATTGCCTGAACTCACAGGTTTGAGACCAGCCTGGGCCAGAGTGAGACACCCGTCTCTAAAAAATAACCAGGTGTTGTGGCAGGCACCTGTAGTCCCAGCTACTTGGGAGGCTGAGGCAAGAGAATCACTTAAGCCCTGGAGTTTGAGGTTGCTGTGAGCTGTGATGCCATGAACTCTAACGAACATGACATAGTGGGACTCTGTCAAAAAAAAAAAAAAAAGAAAGAAAACAACCAAAAAGGAGATACTACATGGGCAATAACGACAGGCACTTGTAGTCTCAGCTACTCAAGAATCTGAGGCAAGAGGATAGCTTGAGCCAAAGAGTGAGGTTGCTGTGAGTCATGATGATGTCATGGCACTCTACCCAGGGAGACAGAGTGAGACTCTGTCTCTCAATAAATAAATACGTTAGAATTAGAGATGAATAATAATTTTTTAAATATCCTAAATATTGTAAAAGACATATTTATGCCAAAAAATACTCATTGCTTATGCAAAATTCAAAGTTAACTAGGTGTCTTGGGTTTGTTCAATTTTGTTTTGTTTTTGCTAAAGATGGTAAAGTTAAAACTAATAAAAAGCTATCCCTAGTATTCTCTAACTCTGTAGTAACAGGTATCACTCTTGAAAATCTTGATTATGAGAAATCACATTTAATTTGTAGAATATCTTAGTGGTGCCTGTTTACATATAAATATCTTATATATAGCTATACATATAGCTAAATATAAATATATTACTTAAAAACAAGTTTATTGAAATGGGCGAAAATAGATATTTCTTTTTCTCTTCTCATGGTACTACAAAATTCTCTCACCGAACTTTCCAACTCATACTCTTTGAAGAATATCCTTTCTGACATTACTTCAGACATTTTTCAACTATGTGCTTAAGACATTAACTAAATCGTTCACAATACTTAAAACATGTTGGCAATAGATGAAAGAACATTGGAAGAAAATTTCTCATCACCTACGTGGAATGTAGGAAATATGGTTTCCCTTTATAGATGTTGAAAACATGTATAAATGCTAACTGAAAATGCATTTTTAAATTATTTTATTCAGTTTTTTTAGCCAGGGCCGTATTTGAACCCATCCCCTCTGGTATATGGGGCTGGCGCCCTGCTACTTGAGCTACAGGGGCCGCCCTTCTAAATTATTTTTTAAAAACTCTTTACTTTGATCCTTAATATATACTTTTCACATGCTTAAACTGTTTTTACGATTACAAATAGTAATTATGTTGATCACACTCTTGTATTTCAAAACAAAATGCAAAATCAAAATTGTATTCGCTTATAAAGAAATATTACTGTACATGAAATTTTGGAATCTATAAACAAAATATCAGGAGAAAATAGTTTGTGGCATAAAAACAAAACTTATAGTTGTACTATTATTTGTTAAGTTGTTCTACGCCAACTTAATGATTTAGCCATTTTAATTAATTTAATGATATGACTTTTACCCTAAAATATTTCAAATGTATGCATTTGTATCAACTCAAAATTTATAGGATGAATAGACTCAATTTGGAAATAGTTTGTGAAAGTGAGAAATATTTAGGGTAAGTTAATTTTAATTAAATATGAGCCAAAGCCTTATAATTGTTTATTCTTATGTATCACCTACTCACATTTTTTTTTTTTTTCAGTTTTTGGCCAGGGCTGGGTTTGAACCCACCACCTCTGGCATACGGGACCAGAGCCTCACTCCTTTGAGCCACAGGCGCCGCCCATCTACTCACATTTTTGCCAAATAGGAACTAAGTTTTACTTATTGCTCTTACTGCAAAAATAAAAGGAAATACTCTCAAGTTTAAGTTATAACCACATGGTGTTTCTGTTTTCCTTTTTTTAAACACCAACTATATATTTCAAAGAATGATAATATACAAAAATATGTTAACACAGGTCCCTAATACTGAAAATCATGTGGAATGTTAAGAAATGATTTTAATGGCTTTTGAAGGTAATACAGACTTTAATATTAAAATTCTTTCAAAAGAATAGCTTTCAAAAATCTGGCTAAAAGGAGGCTATATTTTGTCAAAAAAAAAATCAAACAAAAGGCTTCCTTGTGCTTCTGTATTTGGCTTTATTTTGTATCAATTAAAAATCAATTTACTAAATAGTGTTTCTATTTACTGGAATAGATGTTTTATCCTGAGCTGAATGTGTATTGATTGAGGCTTAATGGCTAATACTGCTGCCAGCGCCATGGACAAAATGAGTCTCAGTAGAAAAAGTGAGATGAGTGGATAAGAAGGCAGAGGGATTTTAAGTACATTTAAAATAAAAAATGTGGCTAACGTTTAAGAGTTTTGCCTTAGGCCAATCGCACACATGATTTTTCTCATTTCTGTAATAAAATTAGTAGCACATCATCAGTTAAGATGTTTTATCAGTAGAGGAGAGTAAATTAAGGAGCAAGAAATTTTTAACACACACTACGTTTGATGGGTAAATGTGTCCATGTACTTGCAGGCATATGCATCATTTCCCAGAAATGTTCACACTTATCAAAATACTAATTTTCATTTTATATTATGTGGCGGGATCATACGTACTCTTTCACCTGGAGGGCCAGGAGGGCCATCACCTCCTGAAGTACCCTGGCAATGAAAAGAAAAGAACGATCAGTGTTGATTCCTTCTCACACCGTCCTTCTGGAAGAAGGACCTCAGCAAAGTCCAGTTAGGGGGACGTTACCTTTGGCCCAGGTTTCCCAGTGGGACCTCTCGCACCTCTAGAACCTCGAGGACCCTGCATAGGAAAGTAAAGAGAAAAGGATCTACTGTCAAGCAAATCCAGAGGCACTGAACCAAGTTTTATTTTGAAACAACATAATACCTTGGAAAACTAAAGGTTTGTTTAAATGGAGGTACCCACCGTTGGACCACGTTGACCCCGAGGTCCTGGTTTGCCAGCTACTCCCTGCCAAAAACAGTTAAAACAATTTCAACACGCATGTATCTCTGTCAATTATGAGTTTGATGCTGCGATAGTGCTCAATCAAGAAAATTTATATTAACTCAGAAAGGTAGACTTATAGATCATACCCGTGCACCCTTCTCTCCATTGGCACCTGGAAACCCAGGGAATCCCGTGGAACCCTATGATAATAAAAATAATAAACAATGAGTATGGCAATGAACACGTGCCACTGTAAACTTCAATTCTTTGGAACACAGTGATTCTGTCACAGCTGGTGATGTTTAAATCAAAAATATAATTTTAGTATATGTAATTGGAAATGAACTTACAATGGCATTTGAAATCCTGGAAGCATTGAAAGCATGAATGGACAAAATATATTTTAGTTTTTAACTTTATAAGTAAAAGAATTAAATGTCAATAGAGCTCATATGGTAGAAATAGCAATTAAAGGACATTTTAAAAATACGTTATTTTTAACTTACAATTCTACTTATTTGCTTCAACTCTTAAAAATTAAAATTTTATTTTTATAAGAATGAATAGCCAAGTACTAAGACGGAGATTTTGTAAAATGTTTTTTTCTCAATTTACATTACAGTAGTAATGTAATTATCATTTTCAGTTGAATATTTTTTACACCTTTAGAGCTGGACCAAATTTAATTGACTGAAAACCTCCCTCCACCTTTTCTGGTTGGTACCTGAACACAGTTATATCTAACGAGGAGTCTAAGTCACACAGTCATGTATAAAACGCTGCTTTGGAAATTCTAAAGACATCGATTAAAGATTTATATTTTCCATGTATCAGGGCAAGTAAGTTTGGTACATCACTTGCCCTCTTCAGGTATAGTTTTCTCTTCTGCAGAATAGGGCAAAATATACTTTGTAGGTTTTTTCAAACTCATGGGAGATTGGAATAGTGGAATGCAGGATGTGAAAATGCTAATGACAGGCCATAAATAATGATCTCAAAATATAATAAGTACATAAAAGCTTTATTTCATTTTGTCCATAAGTGGTCACACTTTATAGATAGAATATAATCACTAATAATCAAATATCTCTATTTCATTGTTGCTTATGTTAAATTTTTATCTGCTTAGACAGTTATTTATTTGATTTACTGTGACTGGTTTGCCTCATCATTGCATCATGAAATAGACCAAATTCAGGTTCAGATCTCTGCTTTTTACTTACTATGAGACACTGCAAAGGAATTGGGGGGACACTTCCAAATATTTACTTTTCCTGTTCAGACGATTTTATGGATAAATGCCATAACACATAAGGTATCTAGGCGTGAGCAATAGACATTCCACTTTTACACACTTCCCCATGAACTAAGAGAAACAGAAGCAAGCTCTCTTTGACTTGAATACATTGCTTGCTTTTTTGAATCCTTTTTGCACTAAACTAAATCTAAAAATAATGTTTCTCTGATGGTAAGTGGTTCCTCTATATCATCAGCATAAACGTCTCCTCTATACCTGGATAGTCTGGAGTGGATGATAAAAATATCAATTGTCAAGTCACACTCCAGACCTCCTGAAACTGAAACAGACTCTCTGCAAGGGAGGTCAAGGAATCTGCATTTTTCCAGCCTCTCAAGTGACATGGGCTGTGGAGTCTGAGAACCCCCAGAAACTGTATTCTTAGGTCTGTGCAGTTAGAACCGCCAGGTGTAGAATACCACGTATTACCAACATGCAGGAGGTCTGTTCCCATAGTGAAGGTAGTAAATATTTCATACTGAGCAGGCAGGCAGGTTGCTACCCATTCACAGTACCCACACAATGATATTAAAGAAGGTCAGAAAAGTTCTATGTGACACCTTGTAGTAGCTGATGATCAAAATAATAACCCTGAGTGCACTGCTTTTAACAACATGTTTCCCACTATAGTTTGAGTCACGCCTACAAAACCAACTTGTGATCATCGTGAAGACGATGGTTAGGATGTGTCGTGTCCACGCAGCAGGGGAAGAGTTTCTGGGCATTACATTCTTTGTAAGTCTCTTTTTTTCTCTACAAAGAATTGGACAGAGTCACACCTAGTAGAGCATTACTAAGGTACCACTCTAGGAAGTTGACAAGGGAGTATAATTCAGTATGGAAATAAAAACTGGGGGAGAACAACTATTTATTTCTGTCCTGATTAGAATTGGTAACTAATCATATTTATAGATACTTCATTTTTTAAAATTAATCTTATGTGTCAATTTTGGGCTTTTTAATTTATTTATTCTCCCATTTCAGATTAATACTACAGTACGCATAATTAGGTTAGGAAAAGTCCAAGGTGTGTTTGCGTCCTACCCAGACACTGCGCCCATTAGGTGGGAGTCTACTGAGACCCTTCCCGTCTTCCCGCCTCCTCCCTTCCTGAATTTGTGTTTTTCCTCTCCTGGAGGCCTGTAGTTGTTTATTTATTAGCTATTTATGAAAAGTCATTACCCATTTTTTTTCTTTTTTTTTTTTTGGCCAGGGCTGGGTTTGAACCCACCACCTCCAGCATATGGGGCTGGCACCCTGTGCTTTTGAGCCACAGGCGCCACCTGGCATTATCCATCTTATATGGAAAAAACAAACAAAAGGAAAAGTCAAAGTTTACCTGTGAAATTAGCTCAGTCATTAAACATAGGACTTCTAATTTTATTTTAAATGCTATGTGAAATATAAAAGTATCCTACCTTAAAATAGATATTACTTCATGAAATAGCTATGCCTTTATAGTACATTTGGTGGTGTGTCTTTTGAATACCCTATGGTTTAAATTGCTATTAAGTCATTAGATAAATTACAGTGTCCAAGTATAGTTCTTACACTGCTGGAAAGAGATTAGCAACCAAATTTCCTTTTTAGCATAATAAAGATCTAAAATGATTCAAAATTCACTAGCTTCCACATAGAAAAAAATTGTGACGCTATCTTTGATCTTTGATGTGTCCATCATTTTTTGTTTTAGAACAAAGAAATCTAAAATCATTTTGAACATAGAAAAAACTTGAGTTATAGAGAGAAGTAACAGAAAAAAAAATCAAGATCAAAATTCCAGGCATTTAGGTGAAAGAGTGAAGAAAAATGTTGGATTCCTTTAGGAAGAAACATTCTCTTTATGCCGTTGCATTTTATTAATAAAAATAATTCAAAGAATACTGATCAGAGAATTGATTGATTTAAGAAAGCACACACAAAGAGTCAGAATTTCAAAGAAACTCATAAGATTGTGCTCCTTCAAGTAACAGTATGACACTTTTCTCTTTACAAATCAAAACAAAACAACACCACTGTTGCAATTCAATGTAGCAAATAGATAAAGAATTCATGTTGTAATCTCAGGATAGCTCGAAGTCCCAGGAAATGCAGTGACTGGCTTATTTTATTCATGATATTTACAAAAATGCTTGGCAGTTAAAAGAAAGGAAACTGGGAGGCACTGCAGTATATTAAGACAAAACTTAAAATTTGAAATTATTAATCATTGTTCAGAATGTAGCCAGAAGCATCTAAATGATGTTTGTATTATTTTTTAAGTTATACACAGCATGAATCTTGTTTTAGAAGGACTCAATATATTTAGCACTTCTACACAAACAAAAAAAGTATTTTTTGGAAACTCAGTGAAAACTTATAAGACAAAACAAACCAGTAAACCTAAAATAAAAGCCTAAAACATAATAAAGAGTGAACACAAGTGCGTGCAGTTCACCATTGTCAGGGGGGAGAATACTTTGTCTTCCATGATAGTCTGTGAAACTTATGTTTCTACGTTTGAGGATATGACATAGCCAGGATTTACCCTGTCTGCTATATTTGAATGAATCAAACACAAACAGGTAGAAGATTGATATACTCTCATGTACGTAGAGTTTAAAAATGGCATAACTACACTATTATTAATAATCAACATTGATATATTAATTTATTTAACTCCCTTACTGTAACTACTCAAAGTCTGCCACACCTTGATTTCATACTTCTGGTCTCCAGAACTGGGAGCAATCGATTTCTGGGGTTTTAAGTCCTTACATTTGTGATGATGTGCTGTGGCAATGCTGGGAAACACAGGCAAATGGAAATGAGGGCAATCGAAATAGAAAAAGAGGTGTAATGTGAGTTTTGGTCTTCTGGATATAACCTAATTATAGCCTAAGAATATGGGAAGGGGGTAGGGGGTAGGTGAAGGGGACGGATGGGGGGAGGGAGGGTGATTGGTGGGGTCACCTCTATGGTTTATCTTACAAGGGTACAAGTGAATCTTTCTATAAGTAGAATATAAATGTCTTAACACAATAACTAAGAAAATGACATAAAGGCTATGTTAGCCAGTTTGATGAAAATATTTCAAATTGTATATGAAAACACCACACTGTACCCCATGATTACATTAATGTACACAGCTATCATTTAATAAAAAAAGAAAAAGAGGTATAATTTTTTTTCTAAAAATAGGTGGTAACTCAAACCCTTATAACAGAAAGGAAAAGAAAAGCTATTATACATTATTTCACCAACTTCAAAACTTCCAGATACACTAGAATAGTTCCACACATTCCATTTACAAGGCCATACTAATGACTCCTTTCTTTCACGAACTGTCTCTTAAAAAGACTTCAATCGTTAATCGCCTGGTTAGTCATGCAGGCTCTCGGCACCCCGACTCCAGCTTCATCCCCCTGTTTTCCTCTATGAAGTTCTATTTTAAGCACTCATCATTTCTCTGGTAGAAACTGTAAGGTGATTCTTAAGTGTTTTTATGAAATGTTGATAAACTATAAAAATTAAGCTAATCGTTTTACCTTCGGACCTTGTCTCCCGGGGTATCCTGGTAATCCTGGAACTCCAAGTTTCCCCTAAAGTTAAAAAAAAGAATGATAATAAAAGTAATTATTCTAAGTTGAATTAAGTTCACAAGGTACGTGTAGTTGTATTTCTATATATTGGAGCCACCTATTGGAATACTCAAAAGGAAGATTTGCAAGTTGTAAACCTACTTTACTTTTATTATATTTCTTCATGTGAGTTGGAAAAGAAAATGGCTGCTTTGGGCACATTTCTAATCCTCTAATGTCGCCTGATTTCAGCAATGTTGTATAAGTGAAGTTGCCTTCTTTGGAGACATGAAGCCTTGATCTAAAGAGAATTCTAAACCCTCTGTGAATTATAAAGCGTGAGTAGAAAACACCTAAGCCTTTTTAAAAAATAATACCTTAAGTCAATTAATGTAATTGGAACAACATTTGGATTTGATCAGTCCAACTGCGGTAAATTTTTTTGATAAAGTCATTTTGCATATCCCAGTCTAAATATAAGTCACCAGGAGTTACTTAATTTTTCTCAATGACTAAGTAAAATTTAAACAGACATACAAAGAAATTTGTAAACAACTTGGGAGACATTTGTTTCTTTTATTCAAATATCTGGAAATCATCCGGATAAAGAGATGTAACATCTATTGAAGCTACAGTTAATTATAATGATGTTTTTATGTAGTGTTAATTCCTTTAGGTGGGACTTGAATATGCAACTATTTTAAGCCAGTGCAATCAGATTACCTCTCACTTGAAAATGCCAAAACAAATTATAAGTTATAATGAAGTTCAGCGATGTAAAACAGGTACTAAGCAATTTAAAACATTATAAAAACAAAGTTAGCCTCTCGAAATTTTTTTCCAAACAAACCATTAATCAGAAAAACAGGCAGAGAGACAAATAAAATAAATTGAATAACATATATTGATAGAATTTTACTGTGCATCCTTTTCCTTAATAAGATACTTATAAAAGCATACTTCTACGTAAAATAGTATTAATGTCTTAAATATTAGCAAGCACAGAATCAGTATTTCCAATGTACAATGAAAAAAAGGAAAAGAAACAAACAGAAGTCCAAACAGTGTGCAACATTAAACGATGAGTAGAGCATTACGGCAAAAATAAATATTTTACAGGACAAAACGAGGCAAGAAACTGAGAACATGCTTTATGCTTTATGCCTTGTTGTCTGAGTCACGATCAACACTGCATAGATAAGTAGTCTTCAGACAGAAAATTTGCAGACAACCTTTTAAGAAGCCTACTTTTAATGATGTCCCTTTGGATACATCAAGTTATTATAACTTGTTTTATGCCATCAGTTTCAAGGTTAATGAAATTCCCTAATTATGCTTAGAAGCTATTTGTGATCTATGCCAATTACCGCATGAGAATTATACTCTTATTCATCTTAAGAGTCATTTTAAAATAAATTCAGACAGAAAATTTGCATTCTGAATATGCTGATGGGAAACTTCAATAAAGGGACAAATATTAAAAAAAAAAAAGCATGTTACAGAATAGGAATTATATAGCGGTTTAAATTCTAGACATCTCAGAATGGTTTGTGTGATCATTTACATGTAATAAAGCTGGGCTAAGAAGACAAAGTAGTTGGGCGTTGTGGTGGGCACCTGTAGTCTCAGCTACTTGGGAGGCTGAGGCAAGAGGATCACTTGAGCCCAAGAGTTTGAGGTTGCTATGAGCTGTGACGCCAAAGCACTCTATGAGGGTGACAAAGTGAGACTCTGTCTCAAAAAAAAAAAAAAAAAAAGACAAGAAATGTCAGAATAACTTTTAATTATTGGCAATTGAGCACTTTAAATGGAAGGGTCTGAGGGCCTGGAACGTCCTGGTCTGCACCGATCTTTCCTACTGCAGCTTATACCCCGTGCTGTTGTCCATCAATGCACAAATAACAACTCTGTGAACGCATGAAACTGTAGAAGTTTCAAAGTGAAACACTGTATAACAACTGTCACATCAGTTACTTCATGATGACAGGAGGAAAAGTTCTGTGTCTGCCCATTCACAATCTCAATACTGATATATTTTCTTTGTGGGATAGAATGGTAGGAAGAGGAAAAGATGATAATTTCCTTAAATAGCATGGAATTTACCTTTTAGAATAATGGCATGATTACTGTAGAAAATGTGGATTTTCTATATACATGCCATATACATAAAAAGAAAGGGAATCATTCAAATTACACCAGCAAGTGTTTATTATTTTTTATATTTTGCTTTGTGTACATAATGGGAAAACACCTGTCATAAACCTTTATAATTTTTTTCATCTAAAATCACAGAACATTATAAAAACATCTACTATATCATGAAATAGTCTGTGAAGGCATACTTGCAATGTTCTTATTAGTATATTTAAATGTAATAGTTGCAAATATTGTTGACATAATACATAATGCCCAGTGACTCTCAAACCAATGGACATTAGAATCATCTGGGGACATCTGAGAACATAATTATGCCTGTGTCAACACAAGATCAAAAGCGAAGTCTTTTTAATTGGGCCTGATGAGAGTATTTTGTAAAAACCTATCCTTTGAAAATTCATGTTAAAGTACAAAAATAGAAAAATGTACATTTTGGTTTGAGGGGAAAAGACGATTTTACTTGGTCCAAAGCCAAAAGTATGTAATTTCTGTGAGGTAGATAGTTAGGACCTTTGGCTTTCCTGGGGTGCTGGGGGACAGAAGGCAGGTGCCCCTTCTGGGGGAGAAGTTACCCTGGTTATTTGGCAAAGAACACAGGGGATCCCCAGCCCACAGGCCAGGAGGACAAGCACAGTAGGATTTGGAAAGTGACATGGAATGACCTGAGGCTAATTATCATCTCATGTGCTGTCCATCAAAGTGTCTCCACAGTGACATCTGAACAAAGCAGGTCCTATCCACTCAGTATAAAATAGAACACCAGACCACAACCAAAGACTTTTTAGCAGGACAAGGCGTCTGTGGCAAAACGACCTTGCTCTGTAAACTATATCTCTCTCTTGCTCTGTAAATCTATCTTCCTCTTTCTCAATAAACTTTGTTGCTCACTTGCCTTGATTTTGGTGTGTCTGGTCTTTCTTTGGTCAAGAGCACACCAAGAACCAAGAACATGGACAACTGTCTAAGTCTGGCATTTTCATTTACTCTTTTTTTCCTTTAACCACATCAAATTCTCAAATGTGAAAAAGCTTTAAGAGTGGCTGGTCTGTGTGGCCTGGGAGAGCAGAGGGGAGTAGAAGAGATGAATGCAAAAAAAGTCCCCCTCTTGGTTTTTTTTAAACTGGGTCTCACTATGTTGCCTTGGGTAGCATCCATTAGTATCATCCTAGCTCAATGAAACCTCAAACTCCTGGACTTAAGCGATCCTTCTGCCTCAGCCTCCCAAGTAGTTGGGACTACAGGAACATAACCCTATGCCCAGTTATGTTTTCTATTGATCTTCCTTTGCTTAGGTTGGTCTGGAGCTCCTGACTTCAAGCATTCCTTCTGGCTGGGCTTTCTGGAGTGCTAGGATTCCAGGTGAGAACCAAATGCCTGGTCTTGACCTCTGTGATCTAAACTTTTCTAAAATGACAATGTCACATCATCACAAGAGGACCTGTAAAGTGAAAGTCATGTACTAACCTTTTCTCCTGCTTGACCAGGAGGACCCAGGTCTCCAGTTGGGCCTGCTCGACCCTTGGGGCCTTCAGGGCCATCTTCTCCTCTTGGGCCTATTTGACCAACTTCTCCCTACGGCACAGATTGACATCCTGTGACTTAAAACATATCTGGAGATTGAAGGGCGTAGATTACGGTTTATCAGAAGCCAAATCCTGAACTCTTGGTGTGTTTACTCATGTTGTAAACTGCATTGACCTCTCCATTACTGAATAAAGAGCTGAATATCGTCTGACATTGGAAACGTTACACAAGCCCATTAAGTTCAAGTTAATGTTCTACAACATTACGTCTATGTGGTAGAGAGAGAATAAGAAAGTAAGATTAGTTAGCCCTTTGGAAATCACGGTTGGATCACAAGAAACATGTCTCCATTTTGGACTTGATTTTATTTTTAAGGCAGTAAGAACTAGGAGAGGGCAGCTATTACCCCTCATACTAAACCCGTTGTGAACTTTAGGGAAACAAAAGTATTCTACAAAAGGCCCACGTGCTCAGATGTATTAGGTACTATGATATCAGTTGTAAGAGAAATTCCCCGAAAAGCATTTAATTTGCTGTAGTTAACTTACATTTTGTTTTTTAGAAGTTTTTACCAGAAAATATATACCATTTTACACTCAAAAATACAAGATCACTATATAACCAAAATTCATGAAAATTTCAGACATAATTTTCAGGTAGCACAGCTCACTACATAGGAACAACATTTAGAACAAACTACTTACAAGAAGTAATGTGACCATAATTTTCTAAAATTGTGTGTAGAAACAGTAATACACGTGTGTGTGTACATGGGTGTCAGTTATGAAACTTACGTAAATAAAACATTTAAAAGACAATACTACACTATCTCCACAAAAATTTAAATGCTTACACTTTGGACTGTATAAAAAGTGAAATAAGTAAAGTCTCAGACAGTACTAGCATTTTTATTTATTCTGTCCTTTGTATGTTTAAACATAAGAAGAATATATATACACATACACACACACATACCCATGTAATAATTTTATGTACTAGTGCATTTTTTTTGTTTACTTACTCTGTCACCTTTAAGACCCATGTCACCTTTGAATCCTGGAAAACCATCTTCACCCTAAAAAACACAAGAAATAAAACAGGAGTTTGTTATTTGGAATAATTTAAAAGATGGCTATATAAAGTATGGCTGCTGACAATTAGGGAAACTATTTTGAATGATGTCAATCCTAGTTGTATAACTTCCTCTCTATAGTTTGATCCTGCCACATATACTGTCCTCTCAGATATCCACAATTATTAGGTATAAATTACTCTAAGTAATTCTTCACAAATGTATCCATTAAATCTTCTCTCTTATAATCTCTTATAACATGTATTCTCTGTCATTTGAGCAAATAAAAAGATATTTAAATAATTATAATTTTAACTTTGGGTTAGAAAAGTTTTAGAGTTTTGGTCTACCAAATAAAATAATCATCTCCTGAATTCAATAAATGATATCTATGAATTTTATATGATGTCTTTTTTTAACATACACTTTCAATAAATATCTTCTAGATAACTTTGTTATAGATCATACAATCTGCCTTCAAATAAAATTAATTATTAAAAAATGACATTGAGGGGGGCGCCTGTGGCTCAAAGGAGTAGGGCGCTGGCCACATATGCTGGAGGTGGTGGATTCAAACCCAGCCCTGGCCAAAAACTGCAAAAAAAAAGAAAAGAAATTGATAATGTCCGTTACATGTACATTGTGGTATCATATGCCCAGACCTGTAATGCTAAAAACTGGGCATCCTTTAATAGAGACAGAAGGAAGAAATTTTGCCCAGGAAATGTTTGCTGTCATTCCTACCGAAATCTGGACTTTTAAAAGCTTACTTATGTTCACAAACAACATTACTAGCTTTTAATTTCAAGGAAAAAAATAAGTTCCTAAGAAATAATCATTCAGGTATTCAATAATATGAATTGATCAATAACCCAGTTCAAAATGTAATGAAGTGTTGGAGATTTTTGTTTTACTAATAAAAACCAAAGTGGAACATCTGTGATCGTCTTGGTACAGATGATGTAGAATCAGTGTTCAGAGGAGAAAGACAAAGTGATGATGATAAAGATGGTGGTGGCGGTGCTGGCGCTGGTGGTTCTTGTGGCGAGACAAGAACTGAATGGGGGAAAGTCTTGATGGGGGAGTTGTTATTGCAGCTGGCAATACGCAGAAAATGGGCCTGACCTGCACAATTTTATGCAAGAACATTTCAGGCTGAATATAAAAATGAAACTATGAGGGACATACACCTCCACATCTGCTGTAAAAATCACTCCTTTAATACACAAAGCTGATCACATCAATTTTTACTTTAATATATCTCAATGGTTCCAAATTGCCAGTAATTTATATAAGCCACCTATTTACCACCACCCCCCCATAATCTCGCCCTTCTTCATCTCTTCAGGTTTTGTCTCGAATTCCCTTCCTTCCCCACCCAAAAATCTGGAATGGAGTTGCAGAAGAAGTGAATTATTTGCATTTCCATTTCTGATACACCTGCAAATCCTTCCCCTTCCCTGTCCATCTGGAGATACTGTAGTCTTCCTGCAATTCTGCTGTGAAGTTTCCCCTGACATCAGTCTTCTCCTCCTAAAATCAACCTCTCCATCCCGTGTGCCTCCATCGAGCATTTACTACTGCAACAATATTCCATTCTGCATTTAGTAGATCATAGGTTGATTTCCTTCGACTCAACCACAGAAGGCAAGAATCATGCCTCAGTTAACCTGAGTCTCCAGTGTCTAATACATTTTTCCCCGTTCAGTAACTATGATGTTCAATAGATGTTTACTAACTGCCTAAAAGTGAGTTTGGCAAGGTGTGCTGAAGTCCTGAAAATACAAACTACCAGGTAATTATGAATACAGGAGAGCTAAAGGTGAGAAAGGGATCCAAACGGTATCTTGTGTAACTCAGAGAATTCTTTCTGACAGGCCTAGAATTTTTCTTCCAGAGAAAAACATGGTCTTCTCCGCATTCTTATCATAACGTGGGCTTGTAAACAGCAAGAGGTTCTCAGTACTGAAGGCAACTGGGCAATGGCAAAGGCTTAAGAGCTAAAAAATGACCACTTAACTTCCTATTAACTATTGTCTCCATCACCCTCTCCCTGGAGAGAAACATAATTACACAGTTGCCAGGTTTAGTTTAAAGAATGCTGCATTCAATGTCTGAAAATCACGAACAGTTTTTAAGAGTGTTTCAGACAGAGATTTATTTGCTTATTTGCTCACTCATTTATTTGAGAACTCAATGGTCAGGATGCTGCTTCTGTCCTGTCTTTCTTTTTTTTTTTTTTTTTTTTTTTGACAGAGCCTCAAGCTGTCCCCCTGGGCAGAGTGCCGTGGCATTACAGCTCACAGCAACCTCCAACTCCTGGGCTCAAGCGAGTCTCCTGCCTCCGCCTCCCAAGTAGCTGGGACCACAGGCGCCCGCCACAACGCCCGGCTATTTTTTGGTTGCAGCCGTCATTGTTGTTTGGCGGGTCCGGGCTGGGGATTCGAACCCGCCACCTTAGGTGTACGTGGCTGGCGCCTTAGCCGGTTGAGCTATAGGCGCCGAGCCTGTCCTGTCTTTCTTTTCAACATATTCACAGTTTTAAAATTATGTGATTCAAATTAGGCATATCCTTCCAACAAATATCATTTTTTAACAAGTGACATATCAAGTTATTAGTACTCCCAGGACTAAAATTGCCAGATCTGAAGTAATCTTAATCTTTAATCCGAAGGATTAATAAAAGAAAGAAACATAGTTTTAGAAGTTGCATAAAAGAATTCACCTATGCCACTTGGTTTATTGGGCCGTGTTGCTCAAGTTTAAAGGGACAAATCTGAGACTAAAACATAGAGAATTGTAAACATAAGGTATTAACTTGTGATTTCATCTTTATTTAACAATGAACATGATTACATTTTAAAAACTTGACTTTGTTTGTCTCTTATGAAATAATCATCTTTTTTTTTCTTCTTGGAGACAGTCTCACTCTATTGCCTCAGGCTAGAGTGCCACGTCATCAGCATAGCTCACAGCAACCTCAAACTCCTGTGTTCAAGTGCCCTTTCTGCCTCAGCCTCCCAAGCATCTGGGACTACAGGTGCTAGCCACAGCGCTTGACTAATTTTTTGTAATTTTCCCCATTTTTAGCAGAGATGGTTTCTCATTCTTGCTCAGGCTGCTCTCAAATTGGTGAGCTGAAGCAATCCTCCCACCTCGGCCTCCCAAGTGTGCTAGGCATGAACCACTGCACCCAGCCCAGTAATCATTGATCTTCCATACTGGGAAAAACAAAATAAATAATGTAAATTAAAAATTCATCAGGGCTTGATCTTACACAGGGTTTGAAAATAGGGAAGATTCATACCATTAAAAAATTTCCATTAATATTGATAAAGAATTTCTCCAAATCTGCAATTTAGACATCCAAATTGCATTCTGTAATAGGATATAATTCACTACTTATATATATTGGATAGAATGAAAGGTGCAGCTGAAAATACCTTAGAGCTATTCTGAGGACATTTCTTCATTTACAGACATAAAATGAGGCTCAGAGAATGTGATCTCTCATTTTACATGTCTCATTAGTAAACTAGTGACTCTCAATTAAAAACTTGAGCTATTTTCCACAATATATACTTGTTTCTTCTGAGACCAGAAAACCAATGATCTCAAGATGTTTTCCTACATACCAGTGATATGTTTATTTTTTTTTCCTGCGTGGTGTGTTTCTCCTCACATACATCTCATCACCTGTAATTTTGTTTGTAACTCTCTCCCTTTGCAGCTACCCTTCCTTCCAGCAAATGTGCAACATCCATCCCACAGTTAAACACCTTTCTTTCAAACACTCGTGCTGCCCTGCTAAACCTCCTTGGTGGGCACCAGAGAAAAAATTCAATGGATAACTTAAATGTCTTAACAAGATAAATTCTAAACGAAAACAGTATTTTTTAGTACAGGCAACCTAAGAATTAGAAGTTAAACCCTGCTTGAATCATTACTGAGAACAGTTGTCAATTTAGTAAGACTCTGTCCAGTCCCCCGTTGGTGTCCTGATGGTGGGGATAGGGGAGGGTCATTGGTTCCAGAACCACCTGCGATTACCAAAATCTGGGATGCTCAAGTTCCTAATGTCAAATGCCATAGTATTTAGTGTGACCTAGTCACATCCTTCCGTATACTTCAAATCAACTCCACAGTACATATAAAAAATAACCCAGTGCAAATGAACTCTTATGTAACTAGCTGTGACACTATATTGTTTTTATTTGCATTATTTTATATATTGTAAATTTTTTTATTTTATCACTGTCAAATATTTTCAAACTGCAATTGGTTTAATCTAAAAGACACAGATACAGTGGCCCAATTGATATTCTAAAAGTTCATGTAAAATGACCAGATGAATCAAGATTAATAGATAGTAGATGTGCTAATACAAAACGCATAATAACATTTTCATATAGTAAAACTGACAACTTAGTTGTATACTGTTAGTGTATATCAATTTTTTTTTTCAGGTAAACCAATTATAATAGATGTAATAAATCCGTCTGTTGTTATCCATTCCTTTTCTGTGTGTGTGTGCAGTTTTTGGCCGACGCTAGGTTTGAACCTACCATCTCTGGCATATGGGGCTGGCACCCTACTCCTTTGAGCCACAGGCACTGCCCTATCCATTCCCTTTTGTTACTAAACAATCAAGAAGTTTTTGGTAGCATTGTAACTATGAAAATAAATAATGGTCATTTATACAAATATTTATCATAGTAATATTAAAAATAAATATTCAAATATATATCTCACCAAAGCTACTAACCTATATATTATAAGCCTATGTATTATTTTAAATTTTTAATGTAATGTTATAGTAACAATCAATCCAATACTGATTCTAAGTAATGCCATTCTCTTTGCATTGTAATATAATATTTAAAGGATTTGGGGCGACAAACTCATATTAAACATTGACCTGAAAAAAATCAAATTTTATGTTTTGCACCCAAAGGCAATTATTAATAAATTAGAAATCTATTCATTCATATTCTTAAATGTATTCTTTCATCTACACTTTTATCTCACTCTTATTAACACTCGGCCTTTGTGTAATATCACATGGGAAGGTTTCTTATCTTGGTACAGGCGCTTCCAACTGTTGTGTTTTGTATTCCATTTCTATTTACAAATGTTGGGGATTTCAGTAGAGAAAAAAGGAATAAACACTTCTCTGTTATTCATCCAACTGGATTATGTCTAAACCCGGTAGCAAATCCATTTATAAGGCCAATCCTGTTTTATAAAAATTAAACCTATATGCAAATCAAGGGGGGGTGGCAATGAAGGACTAATTATGTTTATCAAAGCTACTATATTTTTTAGTTTTTACATTTTCATAATACAGGATAGAAAATTAGACCACCATTGTGCAAAATAGAAGTGACCACTAAATATATTTGAGAAATGAAATACCCGTTGAATAAATTTAAAGTTTGGTATAATAGATACATAAAAAGTAAAAATCACCTAAACAATTAAGTTTTACCTTTTCACCTTTAGATCCCTTGAGACCTCTGACACCATCTGCTCCCTATGGAATAAATGACAAGTATTACAGGACTGCAAAATTTCACATGGAAAGTAAATTCTGGGTTGTGAAATGAATGTAACAATTACCTTTACTCCTCGGGGGCCAGGGTAGCCAATAGGACCTTGTGGACCAGGAGGACCCTAGAAAAGATTCATTGTAACTTAAATGTCTAATATGTTGAAAGAGCTACTGATTCGTGTACCTTAATTTTACCAAAAAATCACCAAAAATATAGTATTTTTCTACTATTAGTATTTGGAAAAGATTTCTTGAGTAGTTTTTTCATTATTTATAAAGTCAGATACGATGAATCAATTATGTGACTAGTACTCCCTGCTTCAAACTTAGTAAATCATGTATTCATCCTAAAAATAAAATACTTAATGGACTATGGTACATATTCTATAAGTACATAAAATAAGTCAAATAATTAGATAATTAATAACTAAATTAGTACCCTGAAAAAATATGTTATGCTCAATGGCTACAATAGACAGTTATTGATTAGCCAACAGAATCAATAATTTCTAATACAAGTTTTTTATAAATTTTTTATAAATTTGTGGAATTCACATCATCGAGAATAAGATTACAATTGTATATCTTTTCTAGAGCTTGGTTTATTTCTCTAGTCTCCCTAAAGGGAACATTTTAAAAAACATAATGTATACTTTCTGCAATGATTCTGTTTTAATTAAACACAATCCTGCCTCAGATACTATCTATAATCCAAAGTAGTCCTAACATTGAACAAGCTTTTATTATATTTCACTTAGATATATTAATAGCCGTTGCTCTTAAATGTAATATCCTCTCAGCTAAAGGTTATTAGAAAGTGATAGGTAATAATCAGATAGGAGTTACCTAAGCAATTTAATGATATTTCATAATTCTTATCTAATTTCACAGTTATATGTTGTTATCATTTACTCCACATATAATGCACATGCAGAATATGGATATATTCCTGATCTGGAGAATAGCTTTAAAAATAAAGAATACAAGCTAATTATTAAAACAAAATTACAAGTTTCTATCTAAGGCACACCTGTTTATAATACTCCAAATATAATTACCTCTATTTAAATGTTGAGAAAAGTTATTTAGAAAGCAGACAAAAGTATAGTTAGAGATGGCATATTTTCTGGTATTTATTTTCTAATACATCCCTAAGTGTTCAAAGAAGAATATATATGTACCATAGAGGTGACCAAATTAAGGCAATTTTCTCTTAAAGATATCATGTAAGTCACTATGAAAGTTTTGAGACAGGCTGTGTTATGGTCCATTATTTTACTTCCAAGGAGCACAGTCAACAGCGCCCTCTGTGATTCACCTGTGCAAGTGTCAACTTGCTCGACTTCTCAGTGCTGCTGGAAAGGCATTGTTTGTTTCCGTGTCTGCATGTATTTAATGTTTCTTGATTTTTGTGTATCGCAAAACGTTTATAGTGACCCATGTATAAACTGACAAGACACTGGAAGAGATACTTAAAAACGTACCAGAGCACCCTTTTCTCCAGACTGGCCTTCTTTTCCAGGATGACCCTATATTTAGCAAACATAAATACTGATAAGGTGCAATATTAATAGTAGCTGACAAAATTATGAACTGGTTCCTTTTGTTTTTAAATCTACTTAAAAGTCACTCTTGAAGTTTAAAAAAATTGAACACTTTTGCTTCAGTGACAGTGCTTAAAATATCACTGGAAACTGGTATTTCTAGGTACACATAATAAGCTTACATCTGATGGTATTGCATTTGAGAAGGCTTGGGAAAAAGCACATACAACAATACCACTGTCATTAAGAATTCAACTGTCTCAATTAGAATCTTGCATAAATGTAATTAAATCTCTTTCATATTTTGCATATTGATCAAAGGACAACCTAGGCATGTGTATGGGACATCTGACATTAACATCGTAAGTACTAATAATGTTCATACTCAAGTTATTGAGGCTCAGTAAACAAAAATGTTTAGTTACAACAGTAGGCAGAGTGAAAATTTTGTATCCTTGCCCTCAAAAATTTGAGTATTTTGAAGAGAAAAAAATCCGTAAATCACAATTTTTTTAAAAATAACAACTATAGAGATTACATTATTATTTATTACTATGTGAAGGAAAGAATAAATATCGCCATATTTCCAGAGAAGGAGAAATTGTTCAGAAATGTCAATTGCAGATGTCTGAGGAAATTTATAAATGGCAAAGAAATTCACCTGGATTCTTAGAAAATAGGTTCTTTAGAAAGGAGGTGAGGATAGAATTGGGATTTCTTTAAAAGTAAGTAGACATATGGAAGAGTAGGGTGACAAAAAATTTAGAGCATTATGAGAAAATTAATTGGATCTATTTTCCTAGAGCTAATGGTTCATGAAGAAGTAGAAGAATATGAAATTCTAGAGGGGTTCTGACCCAGAGCAGTAGATTGATTTTATACAAAGCCTACTGTGAGAGATTATGCAATACAAAAGTGATAAAATGACATTGTAGAGAGATCAATGTTTAATTACTGACTTGATTTATTTTTAGTACAACATTCATTTCTAAAACATGTAAAATCTATTTTTGAAGCCAATGTTTAGAAATTGGCTAAATAGGTAACTGTTACTTACAGGAGGTCCATCGGCACCAGGGAGTCCACCAAGCCCTGGTTTTCCTTGTGGTCCCTTATCAAATGAAGAAAGAAAATATTTGATTTAAAAAAATGAAAATGATGAAAAATTTTGGTTTGTACATACTGCTAATAAAATTCTTAATGTGAGTCACTAATTTCTTTCTATAAATAACAAAGACTTAAATATATTATGTGGAAGAAATGACATATAAAGATAAAGGTGGTGAGACAGGGGAAAGTGGACTTCAGCCACCTCTTTCTGGGGGAATCTGCACAGAACCATCACTTCAGGGGCACCGTGAAGCAGCAAGAGGCTTCAGGAGCCAACAGGGAGGTCTGGAGCTGAGGAAAACCGACACAGAAGGCAGGTACTTGGTAAGGCTGGTTGGCTGGCTTTGCCATAGAGGTCTGGAGACAAGAAAGGGCTGTCATGCGATACTTTGTTTCTGGAATAATCTGCTCACTAGAGCAGCAAGTAGACTCCAACAGCAGCTGGTGGCTGGGGTTGAATGCTAGGCAGGATCATTCTCCCATCGTCTTGGCTGCTGGCTGGCAGGTTGCCAATCATTGTGGAAAGACCAATTGAGTAGGACGAATAGTTCATGGGATCCTAGTGCAGACTGGCTATGGCATGCCTGTTGAGCTTGAATGGCTATCCTTGGGGTGATGTGAATGGCTCTCACACCCCCCAGGATGGCTGCTTTGCTGTCAGGAGCACTGTCTGACGGGCCTCCTGGGAAGTCTGGGGAAAGCTTTGGATCTCAGTCCTATGGGACTGAATGGTGACAAAGTTCACCATTCAGGGGCCAAATTGAAGGCAAAGAAGAGAGAGATGAGACGCAAAGAAGAGAGAGAGATGGAAGGTAAAGATGGTAGATAAGATCCTGTCTTCTTTGCAACTCAAGAGTGGCTTCTGACCTTATTCTATACAGTAAATCCAGCATGTATTCTCTGTCTCCTAGTACCATAGCATCACCAGATGTCTAAGCAATATATTGCAATATACACACACGCATACACATATTGTTTTACATTTTTGCCTATTTTTTCAAATTTTCCTTAGTTTTCTCCTTTTCTTTTTTTTCTCTATTGTTGTTGTTTAGTGTTTTTTGTTTGGGTCCATATTTATTTTTTCATTTGTACTATTTTCAATAGCAAGGGCTCCTCCATTTTTCTTATGGTGTTTTACCACTTTTATTCTTCCTTTCTTTTTTATTTCTCTCTTTTGGCAGAGATTTTTCTGCTTTATCTTTCTGCTTTACATAAATTTTTCATACAACAACTAAGATGACCCTTTTTTCTTTATTTTATACAATATCACTTCTAATTTTTTAAATATATTTTTAATTTTTTAATATATATTTTTTTCTCTTTTCTGAGGGCTGAAGGGTCATAGCTTTGATCTGGCTCAAGGAGTCCACAAGCTCATAGACTTGGGTGTCCCACTAGCTTTGGCGTTTGGAAAGAAGGTATTCGTAGGTCCCCACTGAGACATATAGCTCACTTCTTTCTATATTTGGCAGAGGTGGGGTCTTGCTTTTGCCCAGGCTGGTAAGGAGCTCCAGGTTTCAAGGGAGCCACTCAGCCTAGGCCCCCAAAATATTAGAGCAACAGAAGTGGTTAAAGCACCCTACCGAACACCACCATTTCCCCTGTCACTCTCTTTCACTTCTACTGTTTTTTTCTCTCCTTTTCTTTAATTCTTTCTTTCTGTACCCTCTCTGTTTCCTTCCCTCTTTATCTTTTTCTTTTCTTTCTTCCTTCTCACTCTTTACCCTTATCTTACTTTTGGCCTTATACCAAAAGGCCACTTCAACACCTAAGATATGAGATAAGGCAATTTTAAACCAAGAAGGTAGTGAGAAGGAAAAAATAGGAAAAAGAAGTGAACAAAAAGAAAACACAGATGAGGAGGAGTCAACACAAAAATTCTGGCAACATGAAAAACCAGAATAGAGCAAATCTCCTCACAAAGGATTCGGAGGTAGCAGAGGAGTCCACCTATAAAGAATTAATGGAAATGACAGAAAGGGAATTGAAAATAAAGATGGCAAAAAACATAAAGGGAATTGACAACAAGGTGGTAAAACAAAACGGAAAATTGTTTGAAAGATAAATAGAATATAGAAATGATATGGGGGAGCCTAAAGACTTAAAGTAGTCAATTGGGGTACTTTAAGATACAGTAGAAAGTATCAATAACATTTTATATGATGGAGAAGAGAGAATCTCAGAGCTAGAAGATAAAGCACTTGAGTTAACCCAGGCAGTTAAAGAGGCAGAAAATAAGAGAGAGAAAGAATATTCACTCAGAGAATTATGGGACATCACAAAGCATTCAAACATACGAATTATAGAATTTCCCAAAAGGGAAGAAGACTGTCCCAAAGAAATGGAAGCCCTACTGTAGGATATCAGAAATGAACACTCCCCAAGCATCATTAAAGATTACAAAACATTCCCTTTAGAAGGATATTGAACTCCAGGTCATCTCAACAGAAATAGAGCATCTCCAGGACACACTGTAATAAACCTGTCCAAAGTCAAGATGAAAGAGAAAATTCTTCAAGCAGCCAAGGAATAATTTCCAATTGACCTAAAGGGGCAGATCCATCAGGGTGACAGCAGACTTCTCAGCTGAAACTTTCCAAACCAGAAGAGAATGGTCAAATACTTTTAACTTCTTAAACACAAAATAAAATGAATAGAACTACACCACACTTATCAATTCTCTCAATAAATGTTAATGACTTGAATTTCCCACTGAAGTTACATAGGCTGACCAAATGAACAAAAAAGCCCAAGCCATTCATATGATGTATCCAGAAATCACATCCAACCTTGAAAGACAAAACAAGTCTCAGGTAAAGGCTAGGAAAACAATGATTTCAGGCAAATGGAAATCAGAAGGAAGGAGAGGTCATTGTCTTATTTTCAGATACAAGTGGATTTAAAGCAACTAAAGTTAAGAAAGACAAAGTTGGTTAGTTCATAGTAGTCAAGGGAACAAAACATCAAGAGAACATTTCAATTTTCAATAATATGCACCCAATGCTTCCAGATTTATGAAACAGACCTTGATTGATTATAACACCATAATAGCTAGGAACCTTAACATCCCTCTGATAGAACTCAACTGATCATCTAAACAGAAACTAAACAAAGATAAAAGAAACTTAAATGCAATGTTAAAACAAATGAGCTCAATAAACATATACAGAACACACTATCCCAAAGCTAAGAAATATACTACATTCTTCTCATGAGAACTTGGAACATAGTCAACAATAGATCATACCCTAGGTCACAAATAAAACCTCAACAAAATTGAAAGAATCAAAATTATACGTATTTTCAGACCATAAGGCAATAAACAACTCCAACAAAAATTTTTACCCCCACACAAAGGCATGAAAACTAAAAAACCTCATGTTGAATGACAGTTGAGTTAAAGAGAAATAAAGGAAGAAATGATTAAATTCCACAAACCTAACAACAATGAAACTACAAGTTATCAAAACCTATGGGGTACTGCAAAAGCAATCCTAAGAGGGAAATTTTTCACATTATAGGGCTACATCCAAAAAACAGAATGAGAGCATATCAACAACCTAATGAATCATCTTAAGGAAATGGAAAAGAAAGAGCAATCCAATCTCAACCCAACAGAATAAAATAAATAATCAAAACTAAATCAGAAATAAATCCAATTGAAAAAAAAAAAGACTCATTCAAAAATCAATGAAACATAAAGCTTTTTCTTCAAAAAAGGAAATAAATTGATAAACATTTGACCAGATTAATCAGAAACATAATAGTAAGATATCGAATAACCTCAATCAGAAATGAAAAAGGAGAAATAACAACAGATACCCCGAAAATACAAGAGATTATTTCTGACTGCTACAAGAAGCTCTATGCCCAGAAATTGGACAATGTAGTGGAAATGGATCAATACCTGGGATCATACCATCTCCATAGACTTAACCAGGAAGAATTAGATCTCTAGAACAAACGAATATCAAGCACAGAGACTGATGAAATGATAAAAGCTTCCAATAAAAAAAAAAAGTCCTGGACCAGATGGCTTTACACCAGAATTCTATCAAACCTACAAAGATGGTCTTGTGCCTATACTGAAGAATTAATTCCAAAATATTGAGAAGGAAGAAACCTTTCCTAACATATTCTATGAAGCAAACATCACCCTGATACCAAAATCAGGAAAGGACCCAACTAAAAAGAAGAACTCAGACCAATTTTACTAATTAATATTGATGCAAAAATACTCAATAAAATCTTAGCCAAAAGACTACAGCTACATATTAATAAAATTATACATCATGATCAAGTAGGCTTCATCCAAGGGGTACAAAGATGATTTAACATATGCAGATCCATAAATGTAATTCTCTATACTAATGGAAGCAAAAACAAAGACCATATGATCCTCCAAATAGGTGCAGAAAAGGATTTGATAAAATTCACCATCCTTTTGTAATAGGAACACTTAAGAATATAGATGCAGATGGCACATTTTTTAAATTGATTTAAGCCATCTACAGCAAACCCACAGCTAATGTCATATGAATGGAGTAAAACTGAAAGCTTTCCACTTAGAACTGGAACCAGACTACATACAATATCCTCTATCACCACTATTATTCAACATAGTTCTGAATGTTTTAGCCAATGCAATTGGTCAGGAGAAGGCTATAAAAGGCATCCAAATGGGGGCAGAGAATGTCACATTCTCACGCTTTTCCAATGACATGATCTTATACTTAGAAAACCCCAGAGACTCAACCACAAGTGATCAAGAAATACTGTAACATCTTAAGATATAAAATCAATGTTTAAAAATCAGTAGCCTTTATATACTCCAAAAACAGCCACATAGAAAAGCTAATCAAAGGTGTAATTCCCTTCTGAGAATCTGACAAAGGCCTAATAACTAGAATGTACACAGAATTCAAATTAATGAACCAAAAAGGAGCTAACAACCCCATCTATCACTGGGCAAGAAATATGAAGATAGAGAAAGGGCTAACAAACATATGAAAAAATGCTCATCATCCCTAATCATCAGAGAAATCCAAACGAAAGCCACCCTGAGATATCACTTAGCCAACATCACAAAGTCCCAGAATTGCAGATGAGGGCAGAGTTGTAGAAAGAAACATTTTTACACTGCGGGGACTGCAAACTAATAAGCCTCTTTGGAAAGAAGTACAGAGAGTCTTCAGAGAACTCAAATTAGATCTCCTTTTTGACCCCCCAAATCTTACTACTAGGCATCTACCCTGAAGAAAAAAAAATCATTTTATCATAAAGACATTTGCACATTTATCACAGCTCGATTTATAATTGTCTAGCATTGTATACAAGTTGGCTAACATTACAGAATTTGACAATAAAGCCTCAATTAAATCAATATAAAACAAATGGAAAACCCTTTAAGGTAAATTTAAATTGAATCATTTAGAATTTATAACTGAAATTAATTACATTTCATTTAAAGAACTTAAAAATCTCAATCCCCTTCCCCAGTCTGCAAAATTATATTCAGTCAAGTAACTGAACACTATGTAATTATTATTAATAAAATTATGGTTATTTTTTAATGGTATCATTACCTTTTCATTTAAATTATCTTTTGTTCTTAAGACAATACACTTAGTTTTTTAGAACAAAATGCAATGTACAAGGAACTACTATATTAATCGTTATTATCAGCAGAAGTGATATTTGGATGGCAATGACCAAGTGGGCAATATTACATGAATTTTTTTGTCTCATCATATATTTGAAATTATTAAAATTATTAAAATTATTAAAACTCTTGTACTATGTAGGATGATTTTTAACTCAGATGGAAATTATTCTATCTCTTTTAGAATTGAAGTTTCATGACAGCAGAATGGCTTGTCTGCCCTCTTAACTGTTGCTGTTTCCATAGAGAAAGAGTATTAAAATTGAATAAATGTCGTAGTTTTTATTTTAACAAAATGGCAAATATTTAGAGTGCTTATACAAGATAAACAATTTATATATATATATATATATGTATCTACATTCTCAAAGAATTTCTGAAAATATCATCAGAGAGTTTAGTTAAATTAAATAATGTTTTATATGTGACAGTGTTGCAGTCTGGTAGAGTTACAGAATTAACCAACATTTCTTTTCTGTAAAGCAATTAATAAGTGAATTATATAAATTTTAAACTCATAAATAATAGGAAATATTCATAGGTTTTATTTTTTAAAACCCAGAATAAAGCCAAGTGTTATCCGTTTTAGTTCATTAAAGTAAACTTTATGAAGTATTTTATCAAAAACACAACAAAAGCACAGGTTACATAATAATGTAGGACAAATTCCCTAAAAAGTTCTTGAATATCAAAAATGAATGACATTAGTTAAATTATACTCATATCATGATATAATTTTTAATAACTATTTACCAAGTCAAGGGAGACAAGATTGTTGAGCCAAATAAGATTAGGATTTACAGATTATCATAAATATAGAAAAGTAATAATTAGTGCATTTTAACACAGGTGTAATGTAAAATGTATAGCATAGATACATTATAATTAAAAGATGTTTCCTTCATGTTCTTGAATTGCTTTCTCCTTTTGATGGAAAGAGACTGTCTTTGAACCTACAAGCTGAGCATGTTAGATCAGAGACAGAGACGGTATATACTTACTACAGCTCTCTTCATATCACTATGAGTTCAGTGAACTAGGTCCTGAATTTTACCCCTGGTTCAGCAAGGGGAATTCAAACATAACAATTTTCCCTAAGAATAAATTCTTTTTAATAATCCAGTGCATAGATGATAAAATACTGGCAAAAAAAATAACAGGTGTATGCTTCAAGTATAATGTATAATAAATGTAGCATGCTTTTGATGAGCTAATCTAAAATATTACAAAGTCCCTGATAAAAACCTTTGATCTAAAGTAAAGCTTTAAAATAACCTTTAGAACCAAACATCTGCAACTATATAGAAAGCAAGCACAGAACAAGGTACTTTAACAAGCACTTCAATCTGGTACATTCACTCTTATAAATCAGTAATAAATTAAACAACCCAATTAGATTAGTACCAAAGATTATGAATAACTATTTTGCCAGTGTGATTACAGAATTGGCCAAGAAGCACATGAAACAATGTTTAACATCACCAGTGATCACAGGAAAATGCAAATTACAACCACAACCAGATACATTTCATAGCAACAAGAACTGACCTAATCAAGAAAATATACCATAACAAGATATGAGTGAAGCTGTCGAGAAAGTAATACTCTTTACATACTGCTAATGGCAAGGGAAAAATGGTACAACCACTCTGAAAAATAGTTTTAGAAACTTCTTAAAATGTTAAACATAAGTTTATCATAAGACCAAGGAATTTCATTTCTAAGTATGTACTAGAAAGAAGTGAAAGCCTAGCTACACAAAGAATGATATGTAAATACTTGCAGAAGTACCATTTTATGGACAAGAGCCAAAAAAGATTAAACCACCCATATTCTATCAATGGCTAAATAGGTAGACATAACCTGGCATATATAATCAACAGAATACTAATAGGTAACAAAAAGGAGAAAAGTACTGATGTATGTGTGCTACAACATGGATAAACCTCAACAATATTATACTAAACGAAAGAAGACATATAAAAGTCACTAAAACTATATATTAAATTTATTTAAGGATTTCATTCGTATGCAACGTTCAGAGAAGTCAAATCCATAGAGATAGAAAGCAGATTCGTTGTTGCTACCCCTGAGGGTGGGACTGCAAACAGACACAAGTATTTTTCTGGAGTGGTATAAACATTCTAAGACTTAGATTGTGGCACACCTCTGTCAATTGACTAGAAGTCATGGACATGTGCTTTTAAAACCAGTGAATTTTCATGGCATGTAAATTATGCCACAGTAAGCTACTATTGCTTTGTTAAAAAAAAAAAAAAAACAAACATGATATGCTCATAGAAGTCAACAAAAATAAGGGGAGAATAAATGATAAAAAGAACCAGCTAATAAATGTGCTATAACTACAGGAAACAACAGATGACTCAAGGAATTTGGCAGAGGAGGGGAAAAGACATCTCTTTAATTAAAGATTTACTCCTGTTTTGAGCCAGACACGGAGTTATTAACAAGAACATCATTTGCCATTCATACGTGAGAAATTATGACAAGGACGACTTCACAATTTTCCCTTAATCAGATCTTGCTACAACCTCCTTAATCATGAGCTAACCTAATTATATTTTTCAAATAATGAGAAAGGAAAGACAACCAAACTAAAGAGAAAACATTCACTCATACTAAGGTCTTTCTGAAATTAACATAGCTGAGAATGCCATAATTGAAAGCTGTCCAAATGGTAACTCTGAAATTTTATCACTCATGGTTTAAAGATACATGAATAAATTCTACCCACACTATACTGTCAAGGTTTAACTGTAGATTCATTCCTAGGTGCTGAGCCATCTAGATAGTGTGACAGAAACAGAAGGCAGGCCTCACACCCGCCTAAGGTTGTGAACCCCAAACTTGTTCATCAGGCATTATTAGAACAACACAGTAACTTACTTTTTCACCAGGAGGACCAATGGGACCTTGTGGACCAGGAAGACCCTATTTTAAAAGAATTTATTTCATATATCAGGTGTCTTATCACAACGATACACTTTTAAAATACCATAAATGATCAGCTCTCTGTTGCACGTGAAATGAATTACAAAAATCTATGTCTACCCCCCATTCTCCCTGAGGAGTTTGGAACGTGATAAGGTGTTGTACACAAGCTCCTCTTTTTGCAAAGGGATTGCACTGTAATGCCGTTCAGAACCCTTCCTGCAGGTGTGGCTATTGGCCCTAGCGTTCTCTAAGCGCTGAATGACTCATTTTTCTCTAGGAAAAAAAAAGAGACCCTCTGTAAGTTTGCTCAAATTAAAAAAAAAAAAGGAAAATAGATATTTTCCTACAGTCACATTTTAAACACTGTTATCCATACATTGAAAACTTTGAGGCTGTCAATTTCCCTTTGATTAGATAGCCATCGTGCCCCCCCCCCCGCCCTTATTTCAAAGGAGCTCCCCTGGCTTAGACTTACTTGAGGTCCTGGGTTTCCTTGCTGACCTGGAGGTCCAGGCTCCCCTTGGGGACCCTGCCATAGGAAAATATAAAGAGTCTTTAATAGGGCTGTGTCACAAAGTAGGTTTTGTCTTTTCAATTGAGACATAGCCCCCAAATCAGTTTTCCCTCAAAGCATTTTGGAAAGCATTACAAAATATTAATGGTTGTAGTAACTAATGTCTTTAGCAAAATGTAAGAAATCTTTAGTTTAGATTTAGCATTAAAAGTTGTTTGTTAGTGCTCAGATTCAAAGATGAATTATTTTATGGACATTTGCCCCATACCATGTTCCCTTTTGGTCCTGGAGGGCCATCCACACCAGCCATACCCTTCAATGAAGAAAATAATATACAAATTCAGATTCTAAGCCAGAAAACCAAGAAGACTCATCTAATAGCATGACACCTTAAAGGGATTTGAAATTACCTTAGAATTTAATGGCAATGGGGAAAAAGACAACACCTATACTCTGCTATCCACGTCCATACTGGACACCATCTAGCCACATTTTCCACGGCATGCAGGAGATTTAACAGGAAAACAATAAAATAGGTAACCAAGAGGGGGAAATAACACACGCAAAGCAGGGAGAGAATGACGGGAGGTGGCATCATGACATCTTAGAACATAACACCTGGCTGGATCCTGAGAACTCTGATGACCTGTCGGCTATAATGAGTTTGGCCACAGGCTTTCCCTAGAAAACCCTCAGAGTGTCCAGTCATACATACAGGCTGTCCTGGTATTCCTGGCGTTCCCCTCGGTCCCAGCAGACCTCGTGGACCCTAGAAAGAAAAAACAGAAGATATCTTCAGAAGAAATACCCTCAAAGCACACCTCTTCCTCTGAAGAAATCCAAGGTAATGTTTGGGGTACAAATATTTGCATAGCTTCTCTTAACACTCTGAAAGTGATGTTTAAAATACCACGATTACGAAACACAAATCTCCAGTGTTTATACTGATCTCAAAGCCAAAATGGAGAACAGGGAGTCTTTAGTACCTAAACTGTGTATCACAGACTCTGTACATTTACATAGGCAGCAGGTAGGAGAATTTTTAAAATAAGAGACAGTTTAATACTTTAAATAAGGCACTATGGAATGCTAACACTGAATCTTATTATTGAATCAGACAATTCAAATGGAATTGTTTTGACTCTTATTTATTTTACTTTAGGAAAATTCCATCTTGAGGGACAGAAGTAGACAGCTGGAGAACGATGTATGAGGATTTAAAAAGCATTCTTGAGAGGCTTCTCAAAATATTACTATTTACACTTCCTCTCTCTTCCTCTCCTTAGTCCTCCTCCGCCTCCTGTTTCCCTTTTCTTTCTCTAGAGAAGACTATCTCATAATAATTTATGGTCTCTTCTATTGGCTTGAACTATTTGACTTGACAGGCAGGAGGACTGTGGCAAAGAAAGACTGAAATTAGGAGGCCTGTGTCCAGCCAAGTTCTTTCGTTATCTAACTTTGAGGACCCCTTCCCAGTTCAGTTTCCTCCGTGATAATAGTTGGTGGAGGAAAATGATACAATTCCTCTATTTGGTATATATTAAGAGCCTCATTCTTTTCTGTCTTCTGATAATAATATTCATTTGTCCTAAATACATAAATATGTGACGAGCCATTGATGCTGGGGGCCAAAAAAGAAAGTGACAAAAACTAGAAAAGTTAATGATTTGGCGCATGTTAACATCTCTCACATTAAAGCTGTTACATTCCACATTTTTTTCCTCTCAGTTTTCTAAGATTTTTCTCTACAGCCAAAGAAGAGCTCTGTATTTCTTTGTAATTTTTCACATGACAATTATCTGGTTAGTTCAAGGATAACTGGGATGTTTACCCGCGTTTATTATTGCTTTTTATTTGTGGAACCAGACACTATCACTCAGAAACAGCAATGTTATTTAAAAAGAAACAAAGAAAGCCGCTTACAGCTTCACCTGGAAGACCTCTGGGTCCTATTTCTCCATCTTCTCCCTGTCATGGACAAAATGAATATGGGGATAGAGCATTTAGACGATGTATCATTTCAACATGATTTTGTTCTCTTATGTTTTAATATTAAATACTTATTTTAAAAATTGAAAAGAAGTCTTAATATACCCTCATTCCATCATCACCAGGGGCACCTGGAGGACCTTGGGGACCTCGTTCACCCTATTGAATAAACATGAATATGATTAGCATATGAAATAAGCAGAATGTTTACAAGTCTGTGAGGTAGCCATCCTGACCAAATGAAACAGGGCACTTGGCAGGAAGAACTTATGCTTTATTGACTCACCTTGCCACACTTCACAGATAAATTATATTTTCACAACTTTAACTGGCTTTACATATTCGTATGCTAGGAAAGATAGCACCTTAATTTTCCATGCAACAGTTTTTTATAAAATAAGTACCTAAAATAATTTTCAGATATTTTTAATTATTACAAGTGAAACCATTTAGAAAATAATATTGCTAATGATCTCTTCAAACATAGAAACGCTTTGGTAATTTTCATTTAAAAATATTCTACTTCTACGTAATTTAAATTAAATCAGAACAACTCAAGAGTACGAAAGGAATTCTGGATTTTGTAAAACAGACAGAATTATGTATTGATCATGGCATACATTCGCCACACACTAGATATTTTGCTAAATATTTGTACAGTTTCCATTTTTTTCTCTCTTCTTTTTCCCTCTAATTTATGTAAATGTTGTCCTGCTTTCATTCTTAACTTCTAGTAAAGAAAGCTATGAGGATCCAAAGCTGAGCTTTCTTTCTTTTTTCTTTTTTTTTGAGACAGAATCTCACTAGGTCGCTGTTGCTAGAGTGCTCTAGCATCACAGCTCACAGCAACGTCAAACTCTTGGGCTTAAGCTATTCTCTTGCCTCAGCCTCCCAAGTAGCTGGGACTACAGGCGCCCGCCACAGCTCCCTGCAATTTTTTTTTAATTAAATCATAGCTGTGTACATTAATGCAATCATGGGATACAATGTGCTGGTTTTATATACAATTTGAAATGTTTTCATCAAACGGGTTAACATAGCCTTCACAGCATTTTCTTAGTTATCGTGTTAAGACATTTATATTCTACACCTAGTACATTTCACATGTACCCTTATAAGATGCATCCCACCAATTGGTCCCAACAAGTACTCTCCCTCCAACCATCCTCCCCTGCCCTCCATCTCCCCTTTTCCCTTCTTCTTGGGCTATAATTGAGGCAGGGTTTGAACCCACCAGGGGTTCAAAAGCTGATCTTTCTTTAAGAGCTCATTTCTTTAATTCTCCACTAAATAAATTTACTGGATTGCTACTCAGCATAGTCATATGTTTGGTGTCAGCAAGTTATAAGCTCTGCCACTGGACTGAAAACTCATGTCATCCAAAAGAAAATATATAATTCCCAGCACATTGTTATATTAATGATAAACTGCCTACTGGTGTTTTTTCTTTTGAGTATATTTCCACAGATAAAATGTAAGAGGGAAATTAAGATAATTTTCAAAAAAGCTACTTATAAGAATAAATCTCCATAGTTGCTCTTCTATAAATGTGATATTTTCCACATACATGTACATAAAGATTCCATCTCAATTTATGTTTGTTTACAAGGAGTGTTTTAGTTTTTAAAAGCAATCAAGAAACTTGCATTGATGCTACAGGTAAAATTTTACCTATCTTTCTCCAAGTGTCTATTAGATATAATTTACTAAATAGATCAACATATTTAAATTAATATTCTTATTATTTTTAAAAGTGTATCAATTATAAAATGTTTCGTAACATTTCTATTATGTCTGGGTAAAAAGTAATAGATGCATCTTACCCTGTGACCTTTGTCACCTGGCAGACCAGGAAGTCCATCAAATCCCCGATCTCCCTGTAAAAAACAGTCATTGTCACCATCACATTCCCAGCCTAGATATGTCCTATAATTTGAAATTGGTATATTCTTTCACATCCAGAAATTTTTTTTTTTTTTTTTTTTTTGAGACAGAGCCTCAAGCTGTCCCCCTGGGTAGAGTGCCATGGCATCACAGCTCATAGCAACCTCCAACTCCTGGGCTCAAGGGAGTCTCCTGCCTCTGCCTCCCAAGTAGCTGGGACCACAGGCGCCCACCACAACTCCCGGCTATTTTTTGGTAGCAGCCGTCATTGTTGTTTGGCGGGTCCAGGCTGGGGATTCGAACCCGCCACCTTAGGTGTACGTGGCTGGCGTCTTAGCCGGTTGAGCTATAGGCACCGAGCCCATATCCAGAAATTTTATAGAAAATATAAAATTTTACGGAGTGCACTGATGTCAAAATCTGAATATGCAACTATGAACTCCTGACCTTTGACCCTGGTTCTCCTGGCATTCCTCTTCCTCCATCAGCCCCTGGGCGACCCTGATAATGCCAAGAACATCATTAAACAGGGAGATTAGCAGAGAGTAAAGAGAAACAAATTTACTGTGCATTGAAGATGTCCTCAAAATATGTAATGAAAATAAGCCATACCCTTTTTCCAGGTTTTCCCGTTGGACCAGGGGGACCCTGGACACCTCGAGGGCCCTATATCAAAATATCATAATTAAATCATGTTACAGATTTCTTGATCAATAAACTCAACAACATGAAGAGAGCTGGTTTTTGAAAGTGTTGTCTTCTTAACTTCACCTTCATGACTTAAACATAGGAAATTATTTTTATGTAAAAGTACAGATAAAGCAAAAAAAAGGAATGCATTTTTCTAAATGGTTTCTTGTAAAGAAAGATCATATTACTCATTATAATTTTCTTGTTTAAATGTATTCATATGACTGTAATTTTCTTAAACAAGAAAATTATAATGGGATATACTAAATTTTAAAAATACTCTAGATTACTTACTCATTTTATTCTTAAAACTGTGGAGCTTAACATTTTCTTTTCTTTTTTATTTTGGCCAGGGCTAGGTTTGAACCATCTTTGGCATATGGGGCCAGTGCCCTACTCCTTTGAGCCATAGGCGCCACCCAACATTTTCTTTGAACACACCCTTGACCATCCATACCATTTCTCTTCTCTTTTCCATCCTCTTTCTTTCAGCTCTATTCATTTTTAGATATTCTCTCCTTGATACTTCTTTTGTTGCACTTATTCACATTACATTACAATTGATTTTTCTTAGATCTGAGTCCCCTGTTAGATTGTTAACTAAGGTCTTCAATTAAATATGTTTTTTTTTTCATGATATTCCTACAGCTCAGCATGGTGCCTGGTACATGTTTATTATGTACAAAACATTTGAAGGATAATCTGTCAATCCCTAAAGCAAATGTTGACTAGCACCATGATATTATATTTTTAACTTTCATTGTGAAGGTTAAAATTTCTCAATTCATTATCTTTGCCTGTGTATTGCAGCTCAATTCACGTTTGCAGAGTCATGGAAACAACCCAGATGTTTTTCTGCTTTCTAGATTAAATGTATTCCATAATAAAATTATTCTATCTGCTTATCAGCATTAAGCAAAAAGTAATATTTTTAATTTGGCACCATGTAAATATAACCTAAGATCTTTTCAAAAATTTCAGCTTATATGTTAACAATTTCTCATAATTTCCTCAGCTCTGTGAAGGTTTTCTTAAGTATACTAAACATCCATTATAAGATCAAGTGCTGTATTTATCCTCCACAGAATACATGGGTGTGAAGCAGGACCAATGTAAGGACAGTCGAGGTTATTCTGCTCTGCTCTGCACAATCATAACCTGATATAGAATGTTGAAGGTCTATTTCTTTCACACCTGTCCTACACTAGTCTATTATCTTCTTGTTATTTAAATTAACTAAGTTATTGGAGGTCATCAGCTCCCTTGAGATTTTTCCATTCAAAGAGGTGAGATGGGTTTAAAGATAAGGTAAATAATTCCATTACTCATAAAACAGAAAATACTTCAATTGCCTTACTTGATAAAATAAAGTCAATAATAAAGAAACAAATTTCTTCTTTTTTTTTTTTTTTTTACCTGTGGACCTGGATCACCACTCTCACCTTTGGCCCCAGCTGAACCAGGTCCCCCCTGTGGAGAAAAAGTAAGAATATAATAATTTAATTTAGCAATTCACTAGCTACTTTTATGCAGCCATTTTACATGAAGTAAGTAAATGCTATTCAAATTATATTTAATCCTATAAACAGGATCTTATTAGTACAATAAAATGTTCAAATCCTTCTACTGAAGTATATCTCTGGTCAGCGTATTAATTATATTCCAGTGTCTGAACTTTACTTAAAGGTATATATTTTATGCTTAACTACATCGAAGTCAAACTCATCAAATCACATTAAAATTTTATTTTAAGTGTATACCATCAAAACACTTAAGAGGATACATAAGGCATGGCTTATCACTGCATTCTGATGTGGTTCTAGGATAAAACATTTTTACAAAATCAGGTATGCCCTGAATCCATTTATACGTCATCTTAGCCAAAAGGCTGAGAAGCTATACTGAATCCATTTACACTAAGAATTTGACAAAATGTTACTGCTTTCATACTCAGATATTCCTTAGCAAATGAATTGTATAGAAATAAAATGGTAAGAACAAATGCTTCTGTTATATTTCTAATTGTCCTGAAATAATGTCAAAGCATTTTCCCCAGATTGATCTGTTTTTCCCCTTATAATCAGTTGTTAAACAAACATCTCTTATAAAGATTTATGTAATGTAAAAGGTGCAGCTAAGACCTGACACATCAACTACACATACACATGTGTAATTTCTTTATGAAGCACTTGTAAGTTTTAAAGATAAATATTAGGAATACTATTCAGCCATTAAAAAGGTGGAGACTTTACATCTTTTGTATTAACCTGGATTGGGGTGGAACATATTCTTTCTAGTAAAGCATCACAAAAATGGAGAAGCAAGAATCCAATGTACTCAATTCTAATATGAAGGCAGTAGACGGTCTGATACCAGGTGGAGGGTACGGGAATGAGGGTCTGGGGAGAGCGTAGGAAGGAGGGGGTTGGAGGGAAGGTATATGGCACACCTCTTGGGCAAGGGACACAATTATAAGATGGACTATACCTAACAAATTCAATCAGTGTAACCTAACTTTTTGTACCCTCGGTGAAGGCCAACAATAATAAGTAAATAAATAAATAAATATTAGGCCATTCATACTATGAAAAAACTTGAGAACATTAAAAATAAACATGGTTATTATAGTCACTTCGTGCTGAAGTACTGTGCATGTTTTAAAAGTTTCTGATTTATTTAAAATCATAACAAAGATTTAAATTACTCTAAGTTTGAAAATGGTACCAGTAGACATCTGGTGGCTCCAAAGTGAAAAATAACTATTGACATTACTCCCAAGAAATACAGAAAGCCAAGCAACATGAGTTTTCTAATCTTGAAAATTAAATAAAGAGGACTTTCAATCAAGATTTCTTAGAAATAAATTATTGTACAAAAAAACTGAGCATTTACTTTAAATCAGATTATTAATCAGTGAATTGAATGCAATTTTAAAACACTCGAACTTTAATTAACTGATTGCCTTATAGCTTTTATTTAAGCACTACCTAATAACATAATTATTCAAAATAGTAACTCAACATGTTAATAAGAAACACACATAAACAATAAATAATAAAACATTAATATGCTATAAAATTAGTAAAAATAATTGCTTTACCCACTTATTCAAGAAAATTGTCACACAAGATTGACGGTAATAGGGTAGCCCAAAATTACTATTTTCTACATTTCCTGCATATTGTGTTACAGTTCTCCATTTGTTTATAAAAACAGTTGGATAAAATAATTTTTCATTGGATAAATGTATGCAGTTTTGTCAAAGTGTTGACATAGAGTTTCCTTTCTGAGTCTTAATGTACAAAATATTATTTAGAATCCAAACATTTTAAAAGACTAATAACTTGATGTTTTTGTTTGCTTTTTTTTTTTTTTTTTTTTTGCAGTTTTTGGCCAAGGCTGGGTTTGAACCCTCTACCTCTGATATATGGGGCCAGCTCCCTACTTCTTGAGCCACAGACACCACCCTTGATTAAAGCCTTTTCATAAAAATACATTGAAAAATGAATTGAAAGGACTTTTTTAACGGAAGCAATAATATGAATAGACAATGTGTATGCTACTTTCACTAGCCAGAAATATGCACAATGCCTGGCAGATGTGTGCAGTGAACTGCTAATGTGAAAATTTAAAAATACAACATCTTCTTTGGGTAACCTACCACAGGACCTGGTCTTCCAGTTAGACCCATTGGGCCTGGTGGGCCTCTCAGAGCAATCTAGGAAACAAAATATATCCAGTTCAGTAATGTTCCCTTGGAGTAGCATATCAAAGAACAATATTCACCCACATAAGCTACCCTGAAGTAACACGTAATCAGCACAGGTATAACAGTTACATGCTAGAAGGAGTGCCAAGTTACTGAGGAATTTACAAATTTCTAAAATGACAGAAGGTATGTATAAGTATCAGACATGTTTTACACTGTTTTACTTACATAAATATAACATATATAGTTAAGATTTAATCAACAATAACATTTAAGAGAGATTTTAAAACAACAAATCTGAAAATACTTGATCATTTTCTATTCTGAATTTACTTCAGAATAATGTGTAGTCTTTTTCTTTTAAATGTGCAGGTACAATTCTCAGATAACATATTTTTTAGAGGTGAACAGTTTGAAGAAATTTAAATAATTTTTTTCTATGAACACTTTAGGAAAAATTATACTAACTAAAGCCAAACCCCACCAAGCAAAACTGGTCAGGATTGTTATGATACTATGCACCTTTAACAACTCAACTTTAATCCTACAGAGGCCACATTTGTTTTGTACGATGGTGGGCATAAAAAACTGGTAACATGCACTAGTGTCACACCGAATATTAGAAATGTGAAATTAGCATACTGAGAAGCTAAAACACACAGTACAAAAGACAAATATCTGATAGATGTTAAATTAGTATGATGTGCTTTTTTTGAGTAGTAGAGAGTTCAAGAGACGCATACTTAGATTTATCGCAAAAGATATCAAAAATAATACTGTAAAAGAAATAAATGCAAAATCATATAAGAAAAGTGCACGAGATGAAAACAGGATCTCCAAAGTTTCACTACTGACTCACCATGAGATTTTTGACAATATACTTCTCAATCCTTGAGATTAAATATCTGAAAAATTGGAATTATAATGCCTGCTAACTAGTTTTCCAAGTAAGTTAAGAGGACTAATAAAATGAGGAATTCAATGACCTCATAAGATATTTATTTAATAACTTAGCTTAAAATTGTTCAAAATAATGTAATTTTAAAAATAAATGGTAGGAATCATTAGTAAATTATTTTAAATATTTTATATCTGTATCATGCCAACCTTGAATAAATAAATATATAAACTTTTCATTAGCATTATACATGGTGTAACCAAATAATGATCTTTTAAGATGAATAGACGTAGGAAATACATAAATAAATGTTGAGAGTGAACTAGAGTCTTATGTTTTCACATATTTTATACATGCAGCATTAATGACGATGAATAAAAAGTTTTTGCGGAAATAATTTATTCTGGTTAGGAAGTCAGCAACTATATCCATACCCAGCATAAGTCCTTAATTCCTTCTTCCTTAAAAGGAAAACTAACGCTATAAATAAGTTATGTGATTTCTAATTCTTTTCTCCTTCATTCTTTTAAGTTTCTTATGTATAATTTTTGGAATTACTTAAAAAACACAAATATAATTACATGTTTCATACTAAACATGTTATAACTACACGTTTCATAACTCTATAGGTAGTGGAAGCTTTCAACAAATGAGAAATTTTAAACTGGATATGTGTCCTTATTAAGTGAATGTTGTAAAAATATCACAGATTATAAACATTAAAGTTTAGTATATATGTTTGGAAGTTATTTTTATATACAAAAAGTTCCCAGATAGTTAATTTTCTGGATTATCTGAGATAGCTTACATAATTCAGAAAATTTAAAAGAACAAATTTGTTTCACACTTTATTCCCTTAACTCTCTTAAAGTCGTCAATTATTGATGTGCCTTAGTAGATTAAGTAAAACTGGACGTGAAAGACGGGGAGTACTAATTGCAAATACATCAATTTTGGAAAAATTGGAAATTTTGTGTGTTATTGTGAGAGACTGCCAGAGTTATATATGATAATTCTGAAGTTCTTTGTAATATTCAATTAATAAATACTAGTACTGGAAAAATAAACATAATGATAGCTCTTTTCCAGTTCAATTCAATATACTCCTCAGAAGTAAGCATCCGATTCATAATAAATAGTAGTATCTTCCATATGTGTACACACTCATGAACTCGACACTAATCAGTTTACAGTAAGACATCATTATCCTTTCTTACCCGAGCCTGCTGAAGAATCGCCTGAGCCTGAGCTTCCTGAGCAGAGATGGTTGGTCCTTTGGAACCATCGCCACCATAACGGAACTTGGAAGAGATAAGATAAAGAAATTCACAATTAGGCTTTGTCAGATATGTGCTGCCTTGATCACTAGATAAAAATCACTTGCTTGAAACGGTGAGATTTTACAAAATTCAAAGTAACTCCGCAATGTCATGAGACCTAGATTTTTTAAATAAGTTTTGTTGCCTCTTATAGATGTTTTCTACCGCATTTTATCATTTGTAAAATAAGAGACTAGAATTTTTTTTTATTTTAAAATGGATAATCTCTGAAACTCTGGAATGAACCCTCATGCTTTTTTAATGTATACAGATGTTCCCCATAGTATTGATTCATTTACGGACATCCTAAATGTACTAAATGAAGATTATAGATCAGTCTCTATTTTGTTAACCAAAAGACAGAATCTCCATGAGCACTGATGAAATTTTCTTTGAGATCTATTTATTGTGTTCACCCCTTCATAAATAATTATATTAGAAAATAGAACCTCCCTGATACTATTCCACAAAATGCTAAAGATCCATTCTAACTTCCACTCAAAACGTAGTATTTACCAGAATTTTGTTTGGTAAAATTTCCTTTAATTTTTATTAGCTCAGAGGCTGCTTGATTGCAAGTATCTCCACCTAATAGAACAGATTTTAACTGATCACTCTGTGATATAATACAACAATACTTTTCAGAAATAAGATGGTGAGATATCAAGATATCTTTATAACACTAGAAAATCATACCGGTAGCATCAACATAGTCCCAGGAGGACCAGGTAGACCGTCAGCCCCCGGTAAGCCAGGACGTCCCGGGGGCCCCTAGATGAATAAGTGAAATAATCAAAATAAAACAATAGAAATGTATTGAAAGTAAAATAACTCATAATGTTAATAACACAGTCTATATTATCTAATTTGCATTTGCCCTCTCTATTTAACCTCCTTTTAGTAAGTATGCCTAGAAAGGATTGTGCACTAGCTTTAGATAATTTTAATAATGCTTGGTTATCAATATATGATCAAACTACAATATGAATTTTGCTCAGAATTTACTCGTAGTTTCAAACCGTATAAAACAATGAGTTCATATATAGTTTGAGGGCGTCAGTGGGAGAAAAACAAGTAATTCAAGCTTGTTTTTATGGTTTGATAAAAACAGAATTTAAATAATTAATAAAAGATTTATTTAAAATTAGAAAATAAGTTTATGGTATATGTATTGTTTAAATAGATACTTAAATATTATTTACTTAATAAATTATTTAAATAATTTAAGGAATTATGGCCAATAGAGATACTTTAAAATAATCTTAATCTTAACATGTTGTACAATAATCTACAAAAAATTTTAAGACAGGAAAATAAATTCTATATATTACTTGCGACTCTATGCATATGGACTATAATATTTTGCAAATGCGTGTTAATGATAAATACCTAACTCAGGGAGTTGCTTACTTGTACACAGTAATATTTATTTATTTATTTATTATGTAAATTTCTTTTTATGACTTTTTTTTTTTTGCAGTTTTTGACCAGGACTGAGTTTGAACCTGCCACCTCCAGCATATGGGGCCAGCACCCTACTCCTTTGAGCCACAGGTGCTGCCCCTATTATGTGAATTTCTTATAAAAGTTAATTCTTAGAAAAGAGTTAATATTGATTCTACATTCAAAAGTTAACTTTCATTTAAAATATTATATAATATATGTATATATATTCTGTACAGGCTATAAATAATTATTAAAGTAAGTTCCAAAATGGGTTCTACCCACAAATCATCATTTTATTTTTTTTAATTCTTTTCTCTGTTTTTTTTTTTTTCTTTTTTTTGAGTCAGAGTCTCACTCTGTTCCCTTAGGCTAAACTGCCATGGCCTCAGTGTAGCTCACAATAACCTCATACTCAATCCTCCTGTCTCTGCCTCCCAAGTAGCTGGGACTACAGGCATCTGCCACAATGCCTGGCTAATTTTTTATATTTTTAATAGAGTCAGGGATCTTGCTTTTGCTCTGGCTGATCTCAAATGACTGAGGTTAAGGGATCCTCCCACTTCAGCCTCCCAGAGTGCTAGGGATTACAGAGTGAACCACTGCACCCAGCCACAAGTCGCCATTTTAAATCCTAACAAATCTAGTTGGACAGGTATAATTTCATTTTTAAAAATATTTTCTAAAATTGTCAGATCATTTATATATATTGGTTAAGGTACAGTGTAAAGAGATGAATTTGTAATAAAAATTAAGGTTTTAAGGTCAATAAATTATAGAATCCTGTTTAGGTCCTAGGAAAATATGGTGGAATTAAAAAATAAGATAATGTTAACCCAAGTGACTGATTATAAATAAATGCTTCTATCAAACTATATAGATGAGATTAAGTCAGGAGATCATGTAAAAAAAATCTAGTCTAATAATTTTAAATTAAAAAGTACAAAGACTTTGCACAATTGACTGCTTATGTCCTTTAATTTTAAATAGCTCTTAGCCAGACAGGAACTTCTGAAATATTTAAAAATCTTCCTTCTTTAAAATTTAAATTAAAAAGTGTTTGTCTTTTTCAAATTAAAAATATATAAAAAGCATAAACCACTAATCCAATATTTTTCAAAGAACAAAAAATAAAAAAATCACAACTTATTGTCTAATACAAGAATATACAAAAAAGGAAAAATATTTTATGAGAAAAAGTTTGGAGATACTTGACACAATGAGATATTTTTCCATGTAACCCAGGACTTGATCTTCAAATAAACTTAAGGTTTATTAAACCATTTTAATACTGTCAAACTCAGTATCAATGGGAATGCCTGAAAAATATATCTGCAGTTCAAGTTTGAATCTAATGTAATCAATTCATATCAGTATATAAATAAGGTGAAAATGACAGTTTCTTGTTAATTATACCATAGATAAATATATATTCCTTGCCCTCGCTTTAAATAATACTTTGTAATTCTTTTAATCTGCATTATATGCTTTGGTGATGAGATACCCTTTCACTTACCCTGTCGCCAGGATCGCCAGGGGGTCCAGTGGGCCCTGGCAGACCTGGAGGACCCATAAGACCCTATAAAGAAACATACCATAAACTGAGTCAGATTCCTAATCTCACTGGTTTTCAGGTAAATTCATCTTACTAAAATTAAAGAAGACATCATTTATATTTCATAAATATATACTTGTCTACTAAACAGCAGCCCTATTTATCTTCCTATGAAAAGACAACATATAAAAACCACTTTGCAACTAGCTCAGCTACTCTCAGGGTGGGATCAAACATTCCAAGGAAAAACAGGACGGGAGAACATACCAAGGTAAGGTCCTTACTAAAGAAGTGGTATCCTCGTAAAATCAGATCTCAAAACTAGGACCACAAACTTGAAAATGTAGACATCTTTTAGTGTGGAGGCATTTCTCTGTATATTCTTTATAAGTGAAAGTATTTAAAGGTATCAGTATCTTATATTATTTCAGATGACAAGAATTCATTTAATTCCACAAAAGAGGGAGGATTTCTCACAAGGTCTGGCCAGTGCAATCACCTGAGCATAAACAGACTGAGTAGCAACATCAGCCTCATCAGGAAATCACAAAGGAGTCTGATAATCACTCCCTGCAGATGGACAGACAAGGCAGCTAGGGTCTATATGGAAGTCCCCGTTCCATTCATTGAGATGTAATTATACCTCTGTAATATAAATAAGGATGGCTTTTCTGTACTTTTCCAATTTTCAGGAAGAAAGATTAAAATGAAGTTTAAAAGTTGCAGAGATACTTCAGCAACAAAAATATTTTTAAATAAAATTTAGCTCCAGTGCACTTAAAAGAATATCACTTTTAGAAGAGACGAATTCGAGGGCAGAACAAGGCTACCAGAGCCTCTGAATCAACATTTGCCTCTACGACATCCAAATGAGTCTAAAATATGCAAATTAGATGGATGTGCTAGAAATCTTTTATGTGATTATGAAAAAAAAAAGACAAAAATCATCTTAAAACATTTACATACTGCAGGTCCTGCTGGGCCAGGTGGTCCTTCAACAAGCATACCCTATAACAAAAAACATAAATGTCTTTACCAAAGAAATGTAACCACTACTTGTTAGAGACTGTAAGAATGCACTATATAATTGCATTTTAAAAGTGAATTATCTCTTCTTACATAAAATCAATTATAAACATTTTTGCATAGGGAAGAGAAGAAATTCAAAACAAGAGAAGACAGACTCCCTGCCCTTAGAGAACTTACTGAAGAGAAAATAAATATTAAGATGAATAATATGACAAAGTGTTCCCATGAAGGGTATAGACAAGATCTTCTAAGTTTTTCCTAACATTCAGAAGAATGTCTGGCACAAAGCAGGCACTTAATAAATACAAGCTGTGTGAATGAATGAATGAATGAATGAATGAATGAAGATGACAGCAAAGCACTTTAATTCAGGGTATTGAAAGTCCAGGCAAAATAAATATGGATAAAGATAAGAGAAGCTCTTAAAAAGCAAAAAAAATGGGGTAGTATTTCAGGTTAAAAACTTTATACTAAGAAGGTTATAATTCTACTGCAACTTTGGACTACTAAAATTATAAAGTTATTTTAAAAGGTGATTGTAATTTTTTATACTCAGAACTAATTCAGCCTGAAAAAAAATAGTTTTAAAGCCTTTGGTGGGCAGGACATGATTTTGGAGTCATGCGAGAGATAATCAACCTGGTCCTTAAAGTTGTATCGTTTTTATCTTGATATTTTTTTCCTCTTTCTTTATTTTAAAGTTTATGTCCTTGAAATTTGAGAAGTGGTTTTCATGGTGACTATGAGGCAATCAGTTAAATACACTACTTTTAGTTCTAACACATTCATTTTCCCAAGTTGCTGATTAAGGAAAAGCAATAGTAAAATCCATTCCTAGTAAGAATTTGTTCCTTACCAATATCATGTGTAGTAATAACACAAATATAAATTTTAAAGAATAAATTTTGGAGTAGATAAATGCTTCTTTTCCCCTGGGTGAAGAGGAAGTGAATTTTTAAAAGTATATTTATATTATCACATGCTGCAATTTGGATATGTAACAGGTACATATTTATGTTGAATAGTATATTCCTAATAATGTCAATTCAGAGAGATTAGAGGGAAAAAAATCATTGAATTAAAATCTAGAAAAGCTAAATTCCTGCCATATCTTAATGATCAAACATTTGAAGCCTTGACAGTTACCAAAACCCTTTTGATCTCAAATTCCTTAGTTTTAAAATATGAGAATTGGACCAGACAAACTCCAGCCACTTTCAAATTCTGAAATTTCCAATGTCTGTGTTTGTTTTGCTACATTCCTGTTTTTCTCTAAAGGGTCTCATTAACTTACTTATTTGTGGCAAATCATAAACCTTTGGAACATTTGGAAATCAGGATGGTCAATGACAATACACAAACATGCATAAAAAGTGAATGGGATGATAGTTCAGAGTAAATATTTAACAATTTCACCAACCTTTAAAATGCGTTCACACCAGTACTTACAGGTTCGACCACTGCTGGTTCTCCTTTCTGTCCTTTTTCCCCATATACACCATGGCCATTTATCTGTTGAGTGAAAAAGTTCAAAACAACCTAAATCTCTGTAAGCAAATAAGGCCATTTCAGTTTCCAAAAAGAAATTCAGTAAACTATACATATTTAAAATAACTTATTAAAATATGCTTTTGTAAGAGGAAAAACTTTTAAAGGTTTACATGGAGCAAAAATTTAAAGGAAGACATAATAAACATTAACGCTGAATCTTGAAAGGAGATGGAAAAATTGTTTCTTAGAAGAATACAACAGAAAGATAAATATGATCTATTAGACCTCAATTATGACTCTGAGGCATTAAGTCATTTCATCAAGTTACATTTAATGAAACACTCTAAAAACGAGAAGTTAGATTTGCCATGAATAATAACAATGACTATGTTTTAACATTACCAATGATAATAAATTTTTGATACAATTCTTTTCGAGATTGCACTTTCAAATGAAGGCCCCAGTAATATGGCCAGAGATACAACTGCTGATGATTTCCATGTAGAAGAATCTATGAAGGTGTTGTGATTAGTGGCAAGCACTCAGAATTTACATAAGAACTCAATCTGTATTTCGACCCTGAAAAGATGTCAAGACAAACATAAAAATATCCCCAAAATAAGACATACAAAGACACAGAGCGTAATGCCCACTTACGCTTGTTTCTGTAATATCAGTTTCTGCTGGTACACCTGGACCAAATTCTTCATTAGTGGGGCTTGTTGGTTTGTCTTCATATTCTTTATATTCATAAAAATCATATTCGCCTAAATCTCCATCTACCAGAAGATCAGAGTCCCTGCCGTCTATTTCTCTGTTTTCATATAGTGTATCCTCTGAATTTTTCCTCTGGGAATCATAATCCTCTCCAGTTAAATCCTCTCCAGTTAGATATTCTTCAGTAAATACTTCTTCTACTGGATTTGGCTATTAATTTAGGTTGTAAGGAATTGGAGAACATGAAGTTGACGGTTAGTAAAGCATAATAAGCATCTGGAATTACACTTTGATGGCATGTGAAGAGAAGCAAATGTTCTACTATTATTCAAGCGACTCCAAAGGCCTACAAGGGTAGCTCTTCAGTATCATTGAAAGAAATACATTTGTACATTGGCATGTACAAAGAGATATTGCTTTCAGAAAACTTTTCCCAATAAACTGCAAATATTCACATGGAGTCAACATGTGTATTTGCTTGTTCCATTGGGGGGAAATAAAGCTTATTGGTCAATTTGACATTTACTTTAAAGTTTAAGATTTGAACAATAAAAAAATGCATATACATAAAGCTTTGCATGACCTTTAAATCTCACAGAATGTGATTATGAAATGCACTTGCTACAAGAATAGGCCATGTAAGTTTGACTCTCATCCTATTAATAAAATAACAATGCACCTATAAATTAAGATTTATCATTGCAATGACTATGCAGAGTACTTTACATGTAGAGAAGTAGTATTCAGCCAGAGTGTTCTTTCACGTAAATAAAATATAAATTATATTCTCAAAATTTAAGACAATGAAATATAAATTATTACTGTAAAATCTCATGAAGAATAGGGATAAATATCAATTTAAAAGTCAAAATTATAACAATAATACTTCCTCAGAGATATATAAAATAAACCTGATATAGTTTTCTTTTTCTTATAAGTAAATCCTTAACACTAGAACAAATTTGAATCATTTTTATTATGTGAATTTTGCCCTGATTTTGATTCTGATGAGATTCAAATCAATTTGTCTTGCTTATTTTTAAATTCCATTTTTAAAGTAACTTGCTTTCTATGGTATAGTAATGCTACTTATTAATTTGACATTAATTAGTAATAATTAATGCTAATTAATTAATAAGTAGCATTACATAAAGCATGTGAATGAACATATGTGGAGAAGTAATTAATTTAGCAATTTGTAACTAATATAAAATGCTCGGTAACCATAATATTTTCAGACTCTAAGGTAAGGAATATAAACCACCAACAGAGGTTGCATATTTTCCACGCTCAGAATATTATTTTGGTCATAGTTATGGACTAAAAAGCTAGGTGAATTTGAGTAGATAAATTGCATCTTGAATCAATATATCCATTTATGGAAGATTACTAATTAAACTAAAAGAAATGTAGCAGCCATTCTCAACTTAAATTTTTACTATTTAAAATTTTGTGTTTGCATGCAAAGCACTCACTTGTTGGTCTTATTGGGACATTTCATATAAATTTTCTAATAACTAAATTACATTTTCCTTATATTCATTTCTGATAAAATTATAAAAGATATATGCCAGATATTTAACAGAGTTAAACTGAATCAGATGCTGTTTGTTTTTTTTTTTCATGATCAGAATGCACGTGCAATATGCAATTCAGGAAGGTTAATTTTTAACTATAGGTACTTAAATATTTCCATAGACATTAATGGAAAGGTTAAGATATACTATCATTATTGTAACAGTAATTAAGATCACATTCCTAGCAATTTTGAAATCATAAATAGCTATTAAAATAATGCTACATTTTCTCAAAATGCTTGCTACCCTAAAAATGAATGATTATCTGTCTGATGAAATAAAATTTTAATTGTATCATTGCATGATACAATTTTCACTTTACAGGATTCTTCTCACAGAAGGATCATGTTGTGAAAATCCTTCATCACAACATAGTGAAAAGCTTGCTCAGTCCCAGAAGCAATCAAGATAATGGTAACAGCCAGTTCAGTCGCATCAATTTAGCATTTGCTTGAAGCAAAGAGTCAGGTGAAACTTGAATTGACATTGATCTAAAATGAACTATTTTTAATAAGAGTGGCCAATGCTATTATTTCTCTTAGTAAAAGAATGAAAACATCAGATGTTCGAGAGATTATAGATTCTTCCAGAGTGAGGCAGGTTAAAATCCATTACACACTTTAAAACGCTGGACTGTGTTTTCATACCATCTGAGTGTATTACCTCATTTGTTCCAGACACACGCCTAGGAGCTTCTGTCTGGTAACTTTCCATTGTTCCATAATTGTATTCTTGAAAATCATCAACAACATTGGCCTGATGATAAATTCAGGAGAAAGACAATTAGTATACGTGTAAGGTAATCTCAAACATATGGAAATCATGATTGAGTTGGGTTATAGGATTAGCCAAATGAGTATTTATTTATCTAGTGGGGTTAAGGCTACGACTCATCATCAGAGATCTTCCAGCTTATCTCGGATAGATCTTGATTGCTTTTTCTTTGCTACCTTGACCCCTAGCTTGGCTTTGGCTGATGCTTGGTAACTTTTCTTCTTCTTGGATGAAAATGTTTCAGATTTGGGGGGTGTAAACTTTTTGGGCTTTTCCTTTGAGTTAGTGGCCACTGTCCTCGTCTTCTTTTTGAAATTGGATTTCTTTTTCTGTAAAATGTGGTGAAAGACGGAATGGAAAAACATAAATCAAGTGAGAAGAGAAAGAACAGGGATGAAAAGAAGGGCAAGCAAGGGTGACCTGGGCGTGATTCTTCAGGACAGGCACTGTAAATAAAAATCGCAGTTATTGGTTCAGAGAAATAAGACGACTCAAAAGGTTTATGACAAGTTGGAAGGACGGTCACTAGGAGGAATCACAGGGTGACAAACAGCAGGACACCACAGACACAGGCACCGCTTTGTTTTTACCTCCGTTTGTGCTACTGTCTCCTCAGTTACAAGGGGTCCCTCTGTTACACTTTCAGCCTCCTTATATTCTGCTTCCCCATACTCATAGTCATATTCGATTAAATCCTCAGGCGCATACTACATTGCAAAGGAAAAAATACCAGGCAATTTTGTTAGTTGCAAGTAATACAATTAACATGATGGGAATCATCTTAACTTTTACTTGGTGTAAACGTTAAGAGACAAGGAAATACTGTAAAAGTTATTTTGTGCGACGTAGACGTATTCTCCTGTCTTACGCGGTGTAATAACATAAAAGTGACAAAGCATGTTTCCTATGAGCCGAACAGTGGTTAGGATCAGGCTAAAACCAAAAGTTGTGAATAAGAATTCAAACTTTTAGTTGTCGAGTGTTCATTCAAATATAGCAATTATGTACTTGGACATAGCTATCAAATATTCGTGTTAGTTTGGATGTGTGAAAATTCCTATGCAGTATTCCCCTTTAAGAGTTTTTACAGTCATTTCTGCGGGTACTTTTTTTTTTTAATTATTAAACTACATGTTTGAAAATAAAATGTAGAGAGAAGTCTTCCTGAATACAAAAGGACTTTCTATCTGCTGAGAGATGGGAAAGAAGAGGGAGAGGAAACTTGAAATAAATCTAGAGTCTCATCAAAATGCTGTCCTCAAATAGAAAAATAAAAGCCTCCATGTATTCAGCAATCCCTAAAGTCCTATGGACGTTCCTAAGATCAAAATGGGCTCAAAATAGTTTTGAGACATTAAAATGCTTAATTACATATGCATATAGCTAACATGCTATTTCTGTACTCAAATAGAAAAATAAAAGTTTAAATGTATTCAGCAATCTCTAAAGTCCTATGGACGTACCTAAGATCAAAATGGGCTCAAAATAGTTTTGAGACATTACAGTGTTCAATTACATCTGCATATAGCTAACACACTATGTCCACCTTTGAAATTTTCTCTCTCTAAAAAAAGAACATACCACTTAGGAATCTTAAACTAAATTCACATTGAAAAATAGTATTTTATATTAGATTCTTCTGCATTAAAAGAATATAACTAGAGAGAGGTACATTTCCTAACAGAGGAAAATGAAAGACATTTGAAAACACATATCGAATTTTGAGGAAAAATAATTTGTTTACTTCCAAAGCTAAATATCTTTACAGAAATTTTTATTTTTAATCAAGACTATAGCTACTATGAAAAAATAAATAATCTGTTTTAATCTAAATAAATAAATAGGATAAGATCATATATAGAATAAAAATTAAGAACCTCAACAAGATCAAACTTTTTTTTTTTTTTTTTGAGACAGAGTCTTAAGCTGTTGCCCTGAGTAGAGTGCCGGGGCATCACAGCTCACAGCAACCTCAAACTGTTGGGCTTAAGTGATCCTCTTGCCTCAGCCTCCCAAGTAGCTGGGACTACAGGCACCTGCCACAACGCCTGGCTATTTTTTGGTTATAGTCGTCATTGTTGTTTGGTGGGCCCAGGCTGGATTCGAACCAGCTGGCTCCAGTGTATGTGGCTGGCACCCTAGTCACTTGAGCTACAGGCACCGAGCCAACAAGATCAAACTTTAAAATATATACGTATAGATGCTAAAAGCAACCTATATTTAGTAAATTTGAGTTCTGTACCAACTGGACCTCTCTTTGCATTTCTACCACTAATCTCTTTTAATCTGCCAGCAAAATAACTGTTGTTCACAAATAAAAAAAGTGTGATCACAGCACCACAAATAAGAAAGTGTGATCACAGTACCACAAATAAAAAAGTGTGATCACAGCACCACAAATAAGAAAGTGTGATCACAGCATCCTCTAATAAGCTCTATTAGGTGTACAGAGCAGTACAAAGGAATGCAACTTTCACAGAGACATTGGTACATGTCCAAAACTGAGCCTGTGGCAACAATGCATATACTCAGTTCTTAATGAAATACTTCCCCACTATACTGAAATTTTCTAGATGATTCAGCTGAAGGTCATACTGATAAACGCATAAACACAGACAGTCCTTCAGTACTCTTCATGATTGCAAAAACTCCAACTGAACATAATAAACATATTTACAACTGTATCTTCCTACAAATAACTTCATTATCCATGGAAATGATTCAACAAAGCTTCATTTCTATTAGATTATATAGAATTTGGTAAAACAGAAGTGTATGTGTATAAAAAAATCTATGTATATACTCAGATAAATGCCACGTGAAGTATTTCCATTATATCATACCTTTGCAAGCAAGATAGTATGCCAACTATTCCTAGGAAACTTAATTTAAGCATTGTTAATAACAGCATTAATTAAATAAAATAATTACGTACCAAATTTAGCTGCATATTAAATAGACATTAACGGAGATTGAGTATTATCTAATAAGTATTTTTTTTTTGGAGTTATGGTGACTGAAGCTGGGATAAGAAATATTTGATTTCTATAACTACTAGCTGCCAGCTTTCAGTAAAACATGAAGGGAAAAGATTTTAAAATTAAGTAGACTTTTCAGAATCATAGGTACCTACAATGGATTTTAAAAACAGAGTAAGTAAAGGGCTAATTTTAAATACGAAGATTTAAAAGCATTTTAATTGATGTTTGTTCTTCAGGGATATATATATATATATAAAAACTTGTACCACAGTAGCTAATTAACTTTATATTATCTTTATCGCTTGTTGGAGGAAATGTCTCCTAATCTCCATAATTCTCTTTTTTATTTGAACACTTTCCAAATGAAGACAAACTAGACTGGCTGTGGATGAAAGGAGGAAGTAGCATGCTCACCTTCTCTGGCATAAGTGCGTCTTGCTCTTAGAGCTTGTTCAGGGGTCAATGGAAAGGTCACTGCCTTTGCTCTCCTGTTTATCTGCCCAGCCTCCACATTTTGGTGGTCCTGAGTAGGCTTAGCGCATTGCTGGCCTACATGGAACCTGATGACCTACTGTTGGAGATGATTCTCCTTTCTCCCTATAGAATTTTGAAGATGGCTTGAGACAGAACTAGCTGGAATCGGTCAGATGAATATATGCAAAAAAGCATGTGAAGATGAAGTAATTTCAGCCTCGATCCATGAGTCGCCTAGCAGATATCAGAGAATGTGAGGAGAAAGCATCTTCTTCTGATAACGTCACAAAGTCTACCCATCAGTTAGAAAAATAGTGACATTAACAAAATCCCCTGCATCTATAATAATGAGCAAAAATGATGAATTTTAGGGGAAAGATGATTAAGGCAATACATTTTGAGAAATTAAATGTTTTTAATTTCCTTTGCTTTAATTTCCTCTTTCATTCTTTGTAAAAAAAAGAATACCAGTCACCTACTGTATACAAGGCATTATAGTATTGTGATTCACTAAGAAGGGACCATCTACAGATTTAACATCTGATTTCTTATAAGAGAGGAAGATAATCTAATTTGATGAGAAAATCCCCTAACCATCAAAATTTTAGTATTAGTTGGTCTTCTATGTAAAAGGAACTGCATAGGTTCAACAGAATTAAAATTCGATGACGTTATCACTAAAAAGGAAGCTGTTTAGATTATACATCTTACTTTATTGTCATAACTCAATGATGTTCCAAGCACATAACTATTTGAATCTTAAGAATGGATGAGGTTAGAACATGTTATTTAGAGGACAATAAGTAGATAAAACTACAAGTTGGAACAAGTTGGAAAGAGCATACTTGGAAAGGGCATAATTCATAAAAACTTGACATATTTATTAATCCTCCTTAGAATAATAAATATGCAGTGTCACAAATTAGTCAAATATAAAGCAATATAAAATACATGGATAGTTGACGCTCTATAGTACACCTTAGGTTCTTTACTCACTGGAAAATAACATTTGTTACTATTTTGTATATATAAAACATCTGATAAGATAGTAAAATATATACAAAATATGCAATATAGCATATTAATAGATATAATTCAACATCAATAAAGGGGCTGCTTACTAATTAGATTAACTAGCTGTCTAAACAGGTATAGAATGCTTATCTTATTAAAGTATCAAAATGATTTAAAGTTAGGTAAAAAAGTGAGAACTAATTCTAACAACAAAAAAAACTTCATTGTGACACATCCAATATAGAAATCTATAACAAATGCTGTTTATGACGGCATCCCCTAACCAGACTTTTATGCAGTTTCTCTGACAGCAGTGTTTTTCTCATCAAATGCTCCTAGTAAAAATCATTTTGATCTCAATAGCATGTTAGATATATACATCAACAACTAGAAGTTTAAAAGGCAGGTTTAATTTTAAATTAATAGTACAGGATAGATAAAAATTATCTTCTTTTAAAATAACTCGACTTACCTGCATTAAAACATGGGACCAAAACAACTCAAGATGATACGTTAAGAAGGTAAATTTTCTTGCCAAAATTACAACCATCTCTATTGCTAAAAAAATAGAAGCCTTATCTTTCTTTTAGAAGGAGAAAATGAATCTCATCAATCTTGAACATATACCCTAAATGGTATAAATTTTAAAATTAAGGTATCACATAAAGCCTCAGATATAAAAACCTGATAGATATTTTACCTATCATATCAGAATTCATGGAAAACATGTTTAGTGAATCGTGAAGAAATTTTTAAAATTGAAGCGCTTTAGAACTGTGAAACAGACAAATAGTCAAGTAAATTCTCTTTGGTCGCTCATATGTACTTTCCTTTAGGCTTCTTAAGACTTTGCCCTGTTTTAAAAACAAACAAACAAACTGAAATTAAGTCATAGGATTTATGCAACATAATTCACTATTACACCTTAAAATGTAAAGGAGTGCCAAAAATGTATTTGTGGTATTCAAATTGTAATATACAACCTGAATTACAGGCAGAAATGGCAATAAATCAAAAAATAAGATCTTAATCTGTAACTGAAAAGGTGACCCTAATAATATACATAAAAATGGAGGAAAAATAATATTTGAGCTAATTTTTGAGCAATCGTGATGTTTTTCAAACTTTTATCCCCCTCTTCTAAAATTTAATACTTAAAATCATTACCAAAAAAATAAAAATAAAAAACCTATGGCTTTGCTCCCAACTATAAAATCCCTTCCATTTCAGCTATTTTGTAATTTCTCTGTAATAAGTTTTTTTAATCTATTCATTATTCAAAACAGTCTGAAAACATTAGAATAATTCTAATGTAACTTTCTCCTCTGGGTGAATTCCCAAAGGCCTGGTGAAATAGCAAAAACACCAGAAGACATGTTACCCTTATCTTAAAGCTGTGTCAATTATTTATACCCTAAGAATAGAAAGATAGTTGTTCATAGTATCTTTTTCTTACTGCCCCCCAAAATAAAATATTCTTATGAATACAATATACAAGTGAGGTATCTCTATTTCTACTAAACTTAAGTAAAAGATGTTTAAACAAGAAGAAAAACATGCCAAAGATCTTCAAGTCACTTCTTCCTAGAAATATTAAGACATTATAAACTACAAAGTGTAGTTTAATTAAAGTAGAATCAATAAGTGTAATTCAAAACACTGCAAGGCGATGTCCCTATTACTGAACTGAGAACTGCTCTGATCTTGCACTGCTCACCTCGTCTATCTGAGGTTCCTGAGCCTGAGCAGCCTTGGGTGCTGAGGAGTCACAGTCTGGACTGTAATGCTCACAGTAGTCATACGCCGCCTTGGGGTCGCCCGTGATCAACAACTGCTGGATGTCCCCCTGCAAGGAAAAAGACATGGGTATGGTCAGCATAGTCAAATGCACACGTATCTAGAGAAAGACTTAGTCAAGGTTTATTTTTAAATATTGAAGAAGAAAAATCATTTATATTTCAATGTTAAGAATAGTCTTCCAGGATTAAGAGAGAAACTCCCATTGTATGTATCATCTCTAAATATTAGTAGTTCATTTTACATTAATTTCTAGTTCAGGGTTATCTGTGCTCCGCATCCATTTGTTTGAACACAGTACAATCATTCATGGTTTACTCTGAGTGATAAAGGACAAATGAAATATATGGTGAGTAAAGGGCTGGTGAAAAAAAATAAGTCAATACATTTTAAACACAGTAAATATAGAGAGAGTAATGTTGCTTAATACTAGCTAACTTAAAAACTCAGCTAACCTTAGCTGAATTGTTATTGTTAGGCAAATTTTTAAGAGATTTTTTAAGTAAAATATCCAACTATTGTGTTCTGTTAGCAAAATCAATATTAAAAGAAATTCCTGTCTATAAAGATAAATGAAAAATAGGCACAGAAAAAATCCAACTTATAAAGAAAAATGCATAGGTTTTGTGCATTTTTATTAAAAAATAAGAGTACCTAAGCATACATTAAAAAATCATGCATTCAGAAATCCGGGTGATTTTAATAAAATGAAAAATATTAATAATATTTAATAATAGAATTATCTAAAAAGTTTTAATTTCAGGAGCTTTTAGAATCTGTGTAAACAAAAGACAAATTCAAACATTCTGCCCTCAAGGCAACCTGACTACTACTGCTGGGATTTATTTCATCCTGAGACAAGTTCGATATGTATATAAGTCTGTAGGTCCTGACAATATTAATTCACAATTCTATCCAGGTTTAGGAAAAATATCTGGGCTGGTATTTATTCAACGTAGAGATTCAAGTCACTGTACATACAACTGATTCCCAGAAATTCTGCTCCAGTCTGAATAATTTCCAAGTCAGTCCGGCTTTCTTTGTATCTTATCAACAGGATTTATTTAGAGGCCAATGAATACATGGACATTAATTACAAAAATCTCTACAATTAAGAACCAAGAAAGAATTCATACCATATTTGTACCACAACCTCATGTATTCCTTAACAATCTATTGAGAAAGTAATATACACAAAATATTGAACACAGTATTGCAGATATGGAAACAAACCTGATACAATCTCAGCTCTTTGGGGAGTGCAAGATAGTGTTTAAGAATATTTTAAACCATAATAAAATTCACAACTTGAAGACATATAAGCAAAGTAGTATGAGAATTGCCAAGAAAAGAGTATATATTATTTAATTCTGGCAGTCTATCTTTTATTAAATACTTTGGTTACTACCTGTGGTGTAGCAATACCCGTATTTTTATTATTCTTTTTTCTAAACAGGTATTATATTCACATCCTTAAAATGAGCATTTATTCTTCTGGTACAAGCACCTATATTTCCAATCCTACATTTCTCTTTTAAAAAAATAACACCTATATTGAGATATGACGCATATATAAAATTCATTCTTTTAAAATTTACTTACAATGGGTTTAGTAAATTCAAAGTAGTACAACCATCACCACTACCAAATTTCATAAGATTTTATCACCCCCCTTGAGTGTTTAATTATGATATGCCTACGTGTAAGTTTCTTTAAGTTTATCCTCCTCAGAATTGCTGAGGGTCTTGACTGTGTAGATCAGGTGTCCTCAAACTTTTTAAACAAGGGGCCAGTCACTGTCCCTCAGACCACTGGACGACCAGACTGTGGGCCCCAGGACGAGTCAGCTGCTAAGCAGGACAGGCAGTGGTGGCAACACACCCGGCAGGCTGGATAAATGTCCTAGGCGGGCCGCATGTGGCCCGCGGGCCTTAGTTTGAGGACGCCTAGTGTAGATTAACATGATTCCTCAACTTGTGGAAAGTTTCAGACATTGTTTTTTTAGTAGTTGTTTTGCCCTTTACTCTTTCTTGGATTCTTATTATGCCTACATTGGTATGTTTGATGGTGTCACACAGGTCTCGGAGGTTCTGTCACTTTTTTTCCATATACTTTTCCTTTCTGTTTCTCACACTTGATATAATATCCTATACACTAATTCTCTGTTCTGTCAGCTCAAATCTTTTGAGCTCCTCTAATCAATTTTTTATTGTAATATTATACTTTTCAACTCCGACACTCTACTAGGTTCTTTTTTATATTTTCTATATTTACTGCTATTCTCTATTTGTTTTTTAATTTTTTTTATTAAGTTATATATACATAGATCATGAATACATTTATGCCTTTGTGGGATTCAGTGTGTTGATTATTTGTACAAATTGGAGTGCTTACATCCTACTAGTTAACATAGCTTTCACCTCATTTATTTAATCACAATGTTAAGACATTTGTGTTCAATACTTGATAGATGTGACTTGTACCCTTGCAATCTGCTCCATAGATGTGATCTGGTAAAACATCATTATCATATTTTCATTTAGTTCTTTAGTCATAATTTTCTTTAGTTTTTTAAAGCATATTAAAACTTGCTGATTTAAAGTCATTTGGGGGTAAGTATAGCATCCGTGCTTCTTCAAGGATAATTCCTAATTTGGTTTGATTTTGTTTTTACTTTGTATAGTACATGATTTCCTGTTTCTTTGGCTGTCTCATAATGTTGAAAGCTTTTGTTGAAAGTTGGACATTTTAAATGACCACATCAGAATCAGATTCTATCCTTTTCTTTATAGTTGTGGTGGTGGTGGTTGTGTGTTTGGTGACTTTCCCAAAGTAATTCTGTATGTCAATATTCTTTGTTGCCTATGGCCACTGAGGTCTCTACTTGGTAAGGTTAACGATCAGCAAATGATTAGACAGAGATTTCCGTAAATAGGGGGAACAAATTAGTATCCCAAGAGGTCTTCTATATGCCTTAGAGCACACCCTTAACACTCCTACAGCTTACAACTCTGCCCTAGCTTTCGTTTCTTGCAATGCAGAAGCTCAAGATCAGCCATATGGGAAATATTAGAGACTCCTTTGGTCTTATTTGTACAGTCACATGTCTTCTAGATCATCAGAATAATACTGAAGTTTCTCAAAGCCCATCACGGATATCCCATTTCTAACCTTTCTCTTTTCCGTGGTTCTAACTGACCCATTTGTGCTCCATATCCTCACATTTAAATTACCTTCACCAATTATGTGCTGATAATAGTCATCTAGACCATCTTATTATCACCAGAAAAATGAGAAAAATTAAAACCATAAACGTACCAATCAAAATTTTAAACCATAAACGTACCAGTCAAAACCATAAACATACCAATCAGAATTTTATTGACATGAAATATTAAAATGTTTGTCATCCTTGTGATAAATTTTGTTGAACTCAAAAATATCTCCACTAATCTCTCAGATTTTGTTAAATGTATTCAAGTTGCATAGACATTTCAATCATTAATTCATTTACTCACTCACTCAAAACATGCTCTAAAACTACCTGTAAGATGGTCGTGTGTTCAGATGACAGCCAAATAAGGAAGGACCTACTTTCCAGTGAAACATGAAATAAAGTGAAAGTGGAACATACCGGTCCAGGAAACTATATGGTTTATAATGGCCATGATTTTATCTGAATTTCCAACGTGAAGATATTAGATTATTTATGAGATTATTTCCTACATTTTTTTATAAACAGGAAAGTCTCTAATAATGTCTAATGCCTAATGATTTTAAGTAGCCTCAGAGCAAATGAATACAAGTTCTTAAAATAGTTTGTTGATTTTTTTCAATTTAGAACATTGAGTAACCACATCTGAATTATTATTAATAAATAATAGCAAATAACAAAGAGAAATTTGAATACAATGCTTCTGATGTTTAAAAAAGTAATAATGAGGCATCATTGAATGCATCATTAAGTAATAGAGTAACTGAGAGTTTCAGTTAGAAGCCGCTGCTTCCTAAATTGTCTCCCAGGTTTGCCATTAACTATTTGGAATTGTGCAGCACTTAACCTAACTCATCTGTAAAATGAATGCATTGAAAGATCACAGCCAAGGTCTTCCGCCATGACTAAAAACTCTGAAATTCCAAACTTAATTATAATATGTATAAGTTACAATGAACTCAGCTGAAACACAAAAATGTTACCTCTTATAATTTTAAAATAGTCTATTTTTAAGAATACTACTGGTTTCCTAAGGAGCTCCTACTCTATTTACAGCACTTCACTTCATTAAACGAAATCTTGCCAACTTTTCCACTATAAATTCTTATTTCATGTGTTCAATAGTTAGGCAGAAAATATACCACTGGAAAGAAAACGGAAAATTCAGTAAGAAATCTACAGTACCATTTTCCCCAGAAAGCATTTTATAGTGTTTTATGTTAATCATATGACACGTTGTGAGACAATCTGTAGATAAATAGAAGCATTGCTGCTGGCTGAATGAACTGTAAATACTTAGATTCAGTAGTGTCATAAAAATTTCCACAGCTGAAGAAAAGCAAAGTTACCAAGTAAAACTGGCATCTGCAGCATATGAGGCATGAAAAAGCCATCTTTTCCTCTACTAATGATCTATAAAGCTGAGATTAAGGTAGAGTTGATGCAATTACTTTGCGATCTACGGGTGTGTCCACTGGGTTTCTACCACAGCATTTGCGTAGAGATGGTATTGGATAGAGGAGGAAAGCAAAGCAGATGTAAGAAAATCAAATAGAAACTGTCCATACAGATGAGATCCTTGTAAATGTCACCCTCATTGCAAAAGAATCTCACCACACTTTTTAAACCTACCAGGTATATACATAATAGTATACCCTTCTTTTAAAACCCCAAATTAATGCATGTGTTAACAAATTTTTCCTCTTTGTTTTTACTTTGATTTGTATATACCTACATATACACACACACTCATGCACATACACACACAGAATGTCTCTTTAATTCCTACCTAGCTCTATTTTCTGTGCTGTAACTACCCAATGCTCTATGAAATA